GCTGGTATCTAGGGTTGTCACCCAAAACTCTTAAATGATTATGGTATAGATGTTTATAGATGGGGACGGAAAAGTCCGGTTAATAATGAGGGCTATTGGAAAACACGAAAGCTGAAGATGCCGATTTGTGGTATAGCGACAGAGAGAGAGAGAAATAGACAGAATTAACAAAAATTGTCTCAAAGGATCTAGGTTTGAATTCACAATATATTTTGAATATATAATAAAAAACCTAATGGCATTGTTAGAAACTTGTTTTCAAAGAAAATAGACTTGTGTTCATGTGGTATTTACGCGAGTACTTAGCTAAGTACAATAGTTTTCAATATCATGCCCATTACGTAGTTTCCTACGTAAAGTTTATCAAGGTTCTCAATTTTTTAATAATATGTTCCGATAAAGTGACGTAGAGTCAGCTGAATAAAAACCACAGCGAAAACAACAGTCAATGTTATCTTAAGATGAATTATTTCAACATGATGTACATGATCCCTTAAATACCATAGGATTATTACTTTAAAAAATGTTCAACAATGTTTACGCGATATACCTATATACATTTATATTATTATACAAAATAATATACCTACTACACAATATTTTTTCGTATAGGTAATTGTTTACTTTTAAAGCGTAGCAGTATATACAATTCGTAAATCGTTTATAATAATTTCGATTACTTTGAATCCTAATATAACATATGTATCTATTTCAAACTTTTCTTAAAGACTGGCTGTACCAAAGTACGTTAATTTCGAAAGATAATAAGAAGTAAACCTAACTTATGTAGCTTTAATAAGTCTGAATATACCTACCTATTTGCTCAAAGGTACTCATGATGATTTTTTAACCAGACTTACGCGATGTATCACATGATAGTTTGTGTATGTAGGTGTAGGTGGATATGATATTAACTCACCTTCGTCCTCTTCGTCCTTTCCTCCAAGACCGATCACGAGAGCACTTCTCATTAGGTGACCCATAATACTTATAGAACGTTTACAATGCTGATTTTGTGCAAATTAATGATTATACACGACCTCATGAAAATACTACATATAAAAAAATACTACGGACATTTACAAGTACACGATAACACAAATTTTATCTAAATAAGTAAAACAAATGATTACATTTAACCAAGAATATTTTACCGCCCTAGTCGGTTCAAAAGATAATCGGCTACATCTCTGAAGTAATTAATTATTGATATGCGAATCTGTTGTAGAGGAAAGTGAAACGATTGTAGCTTCTGTCGCTACTGATGTATCAATGGTGCGAAGTGGGTGCTAACCAAAATTAGAAGTCTGTTTAGAAGTTGGACAGAGAAATGCGTGGAGTAGAAGGCAACTTTACAACATTAAATATGTTGTGTAGATATAAACTAGGAATCCTATCAATGACAACATTATATATATTGTAATATATATATAAGTTTAGTACAAAATATCAGAAAAACTTTCTTTTTTTTTAATATAGATTACCATGACTACAGGACGATTTTCTAAAATTTCCTTGAAATTGGAAATGCGAATTCTACTATAATTGCGTAATTTTTCCTATTACTTTTTCAATATATAGTTAACTACAATTTATTATTTTTAAGAAAACCATTCAATCATATTAATATAAGTTTACTTCATAATTGTGAAGCAATCTTATATATGAGTATATTGACTGTTATAATAGGATCTTTAATAATGTTATTAAACGTACGTTTATAGAAGACAATATTTAAATATCCAGATATCAAAAAAATTTGAAACAACAGCGACTCCATAGCGTAATTAGTATGCATGTTGATTTAAGTAAGGGAACAATGAGTTATCTGCCACTGCGCGAGACTATGTGTAAATAGGCATTGCTTTTTCAGTAACTGAAAATTATAAAGTAGATAACACGGAAATTTAAACTGGAAACAATGGAAAAATCCAACCACACTACAAAATGTTAACCAAATCATGAATAGACGACTTCAGTGGTCTAGCGGTTTAGCACAGCCTTATTTCTGATAGTTGCGGGTTTGATTCCTCCTACGAAGCAAACATTTGTATTCATGACTATAATTGTTTGTATTTTTTATGGACGATAATATAATGTATACTATCCTCTATAAAGTCCACCAGTTTACACTGGCGGAGCATTAGTGGAGGATATTAAATAATTATGAGTATGAAATCAGGTCAGTTAACCCATTTTGGCAAATAGCAATTTACTACCTTGTTGGTTTTCTGGGGGAACCGCGTGGAGGTCACTCTGACTACTACATTGCTAATAATGGGGTTATTAGTCCGCATTAGCAACAGTCCCCTTTCCCTTGATTATTTTGCATTTTTTTAAAGGATTTTATTTAATAGTGCACAAAAATACATAATAGTAATGTATACCACATTACTTTAACCATACTGCTATCCAAATACCATGTCAGGATAATCTTCATACGGTTCCACCGACGTATACCGTTATCGCAGACGGGGGCATTATTCCATTATAATCTATTAAGAAAACCTACACATGAAAAATATATGTAGGTATATGTAGATTAATTGAGAATCTTCTAAAGAAGCACAAGTGGCTTGAAAATAGTTTGTATTTTTTTGTTATTATAAAATTAATTTATACACGTACAGTAAAGAATAGGTATCTACCATCCTGGTAATTATAAGTAAATACCTACAGTACTTACTCTATACCTAATACCTATTACCATTATTCAGCCAATTCTTATGAATAGTAATAATCTAATAATCAATAGTTACATCGCTAAGACGTGAATTATACACACTTTAGGTACAATAACATAGATATACCTACATATCATACCTATTAAAATATATAAGTATTTACCTACTTCGTTTGAATTTCTCGTTATAGTTAGGTAGAATCTAATGGTTCGGGAGTTACTGTGCTGTATCTATAAGGAATTCCGCTTTGAAAATTGACCCAAATTTTACAGGAAGAGCCGGGCTCTCATCATTTCACGCCCAATTAACTTTTTGATCAGCAACATGGTGACATGATATTTATATGACTAGATACGTATTAGATTTACTTTCGACGATGAAAATTATCTTACATCTGTAAAAGTTAGAAAATACCTATAGATAAGTATCACAGTCAAAAGTATTTAAGACAGTATAAAATAGTGAAATACCTAAATAGTTCAAAATAAAGTCGCTTGCGATGTCTTTTCGCTTAGATATATCTTTTAAACTACGCAACAGACTTTAGCAATACATAGATAGGTTCAAGAGAAAAGTTTCTATGTATAATACATATACAATATACATCCGTGAGAAGCCGGGGCGGGTAACTAGATTAAAATAAAATATTTATATTACCAATCGTGTATCGCTACACAAATAATAACGGCAGAAAAATAAAATAAAGGTATTACAGAAGGTTTGTCAGGAAATGTAGTTCATTTATTGGTTTTATCGGGTATACGTGCCACATACTTTAACAACAACGTAGAATATATGTACCTATCTGAACCACTATTATGAACTCAGAAAAAAGTGGAAATGTTAACGTAAATTTTGAAGTTTTCATTACAAATTGATCATGTAACCGCGCAATTTTCATGAAGGTTTTAAAAGTAATTTCCAATTTGCCATTTTATTTCGTGATGAAACTTTTCATCAGTTTCATGAATACCTAGTATCACTATATTTTAAAATCTGTATGCCTACTATTTTGTAAAACAAAACATAGTTGTTACGTAGATACAATTTTCTTAAAAAAAAAGAGCTTTCTTATGAGTATAACCCACTACAAAATATAGTGTAGTTATTTTTCTTATAACAATAGGTAAACATTTGTTTGGTAGCCGTTGCCATAGATTCAGCCTTGCTTTCGTTACATTATCGCGGGCCATCTAAAATAGTTTGATAATGCTTGTGGATAAGGAGGAAAATAATTTGCTATGCAGTGTTTTCTTGTACCTATAGGTAAAGAGAAAACAACTTTGATTAAACTCCATAGCCTTATTGTTAAAGGTTTTAAATTCGAAGCATGGTGTATTGTTAAGTAAATGCAATTACTCTACAATCATGATATATACCGTTAACATACAGTCTAAACTATACCATTAAACCGCTAAATACAGTTAATATGGTCCACGGCCACGTTAAACTGACAATGTGCTTGAATGCTAAATGTGGCCAGTCGACAATTATATTGACCATTACAATTTGCTTACGTATATCCCATCTACGAGTACCTAATACCTAAGTAGTATAATATGTAGGTACCTATATAGTATTTCTAACGCTGAAATGAAATGAAATGTTTATTTGCCAGGAATGTGGTGTGCACATTGATAATTGAAAGTATTAGTAGGTAGGTACATATACATAGTTATATGCGCTGGAAGAAATTTACCATCAGAAGGATAATATAAAATGAATGATAAATAAGTCAGCCCATCGTGGCGAATTCGCCAGAAATTAACCACAATGGTTTCCAGGGTGAACCGCCTGGAGGTTGACCTGATGGAATAATCTATATTTATGGAATATGGGCGGTAAAATGGCGAGAAACATCTAGTTTAGCGTTCCTTACACTTCAGTTCACAAAGAAAAAACAAAATTTCAATGACTTAATAAAAAACCGCAAGAATAAATAAGAATAGATTTTTCATAAAATCACTGTATTAATGTAAATGTTCCTGCTGGTATTTCGCAACTAAATTAGTAATATTCTGATTGATGTTTTTACTTAGTTGTAATCTCAAATTGAATTACAATTGTAACCCGTTAATTTTTATTTATGATATATATTAGCAGAGATATATATATATATATATGCCTATTCATAGACAGCATAGTAATTACGAGACTTACTTGCATTTATTTATTACTTTAAATGTTTCTGCATAAAACTGTCCCTCATACTACCTACTCACATACCTCCCACACCATACCACTGAACACAAGTTAATAAACACTGAACTATCCAGTAAAGCATAATAAACAAATAATAATAATAACTTGCATTGTTATTAAGTAGATTTATTTTCAGATAAAAACATTCATGTAACACTAATTAAACCAACTTCAACAAATAAGTAAGGATTTGATTCGTAGTATGGTTCCAGATCCCAGGAAGTAACATAGATATCAATTAGCTTCTCATCTCTACAATGTGCAACATTCTCTGAAAAAGATGGCATCAAATATTATACCTACATGAACACTATATTATTAATTAAAAAAAATATATTATAAATTCAACTTTGCTTAAATTAAAAAAAAAAAGGTTAAAGTGGTAGAGAGCTTCAGATTTCTAAAAAAATATCTCTAAAGTGTAGGCTATCTAACAGTATGAAATTTGTTACAATATCATTTTTTGAACCAGAGTTGTTAATTTTTTTACATGATCCGACTATTTCGTCGAAATTCTACTCATAATGAAAGTTCAATATTTTGCGAAAATTATCAATGCAAAGTTGAACATAATGATACAAACATAGCTAGACTGGTATTCTTTATTTAAAAAATAAGTACATTGAGTTTACAAAAAGACCGGCACCGATATATATAGGTGCCGGTAGTCACTTATTATATTGTTTTCCAATCCAATTACATATACAAATAGTAATATACCTGTAATTATTTGTTTCAGTCTATATTCTTTTTGTAAAGATATAAATATTCTTTCCACACTTTCGTATATATCTTTTGCAGTCCATGTAAGGATTACTGGTTGACTTGTTTGCAGTTTGGCAAGTGCTTGTAACTGATTTTTTATTTTTTCTATGTCTGAAATTTAAAGTATATGTTTACTATAAAACACATATTAAATATAACCTGTATATGAGTTTGAATAGGTATAGAATAAGTTGGAGTTAACCATATTAGTAACAGATTAGATCTGAAAGATTTTCTAGGTCTTCTACAATATCACAGATATGATGTATCATAGTATACAATTTTATATATACTCTATTACCAGTGGGGATCAATGGCATAGTAGCCATTTTTAGTTCGAAAAACGGATTTAGATGGCGTCATTGGTATCGAATGTAATTCAACATTGTTTTGTAATCGTTTAAAACCCAAAACTATGTTTTTAAAAAGGTTTAATCTATTTTTAAAAAGTCATATATAGATGTTAAAATGAAATAATGCGTTTTGAAAAGTAATTTTCATATATTTACTCATTTTGTTGTTGCCCTGTATTTGTTTACAATTTAATCATTGCTAATTGGGGCTTATTGTTTCCAAAATACTTTCATAGATGGCGCTGTTTTCATTTGTATCACCGTATTTTAAATGTTTATTTTATATTTTCAAATAATAAGTACTTACTATATTATTATGATAAATTAAACATAAAAAAAGTTTAAGTAAATATAAAACAGCTAAACAAGAAAACCATATTATTCCAGTAATACTTATTTAGAAAGTGTTGCCATATTAAAAATAAATGCATAGATTTATCGATTTTTTCGAATAATCGATAACAAGATATTACAACGCATTATTCGATGGTGCTTTTAATTAGTCTTTGCAAACAGTAAAATTTCATCATTTTGTATTATACTCTTATTTGGAACGAATTGCAATGCATAATTTTTACTCGACGACGGCAAAATAGAGAGATTTTGACAGGTATGCAAGTACTATATATTTATCTGTTCGCTCATAACTTCGAAACTTGAAGAGGGAAATATTAATTAGATTGATCTGATACAAGTGTACTCTATTATATCAACCTCCACGCGGTCACCCTGGTAATTATAGCAATTAATGACATTAGTGACATAGTTCTTCTATTAAAAAAAATAAATACCTACTTATTGTAATTTAATGAATGAGAATTGAATGTGGTATAGAGTATATAAGGTCAGCTATACCTTTATGAAACCTCAATAAACAAGTGTTATATGGTATCTAAATTACTGACATTGGTAGCTAAATATGAGTGTCCTCGAATTTTTAAAAATACTCATAAGAAACTTTACAAATACTCGAATTTTGCTTTTGTAGAAGGATATTTTCAACCTTACTAAATTGTACAAGGTTTTGAAACGATAATCATTCATAATACTATGATATATTACTGATCCTAGTACCTACTATTCATGATAATTAGTTTTTTAATATCTCCATTCGAGGGTAGGTTATTCATAATTTATATTATTAGATTTCATCACAAATAAAAATATCGATTTAAAATCGTAGGTTGGTCCATATTTTTTTATTATATCGAAATGACAACGAGTACTGGCAACATAAATGAAATGTTAAAAATATAAAATATAGGAATAAAAGAATAGGATAAACGACTTTAAGTCAAATGCTTAAAACATATTTTCACTAGCATTGGATTTTTTCTCTTTTTTCATCATTTAAGTTAAGTAGGTACTTCAACTTTTGAATTGTTCCTGTTCAGAGTTCATTGAACTTCTTATTTTTTTGTCAAACTCAATAATTTAAATGTGTCTAAGGACTACTACAAATATTTAGTAAACTATCGTGTCTTTGAGGATTATCTCATACCAGGTATAACTATAAGTTGTTAAAAACTTGCATATGTATGCGTGTGTATCTTTCATATTAAAATATAATAAACATAGGTACTTGGTGACCGCTTTAATGTGGTATTATTATGTTTTTATTATTGTTATGAATGTAACTTCAAAAAACTAACACTGATTTTATAATTTTTGATTGATTGAGAAAATACTGAAAATTATTAATCAAAATAAAGTACTAAACAGTAGTATTATTTTTATATTTTATTAGAACTGAATGAATATGATGTATGAATAATATGTTTATTGTGCTAATAAGGTTACAGTTTAGTTACTTTCATGTAAATTCATTCATGTAAGTTCATGAAAATGTAACATGGTATATGATATTGTTTTCAGATTTTCCTGACATCAACAACTTAATACTGAACAAAGTTTAAACAAATAAGAGATGATATTCTAAATCTCCTAGTCATTCAGATGAAGATAAATAACATTTTTACTGTAAAGAACAGGAGTTCAAAAGAATAAGAAATATATATATATATATATATATATGAACATTTTACTGTATAAAATAATAATGCAAGTAAAAATAAGAGAAAAAAGCAGAAGAAAAATCTGTAAATTATTAATCACAATGCAATTAATAATATAATTAAATAAGTAAGAAAGCAACGGACTAGTGATGAGAAGAAATTCCAAGTAATTATATTATGTGTAACCGACTGCAAATAAGTTTATGATTTAAGCTCATGATTATTATTATATTGCTTCATCAACAAATCCAGGAATATTTTGTGTACCAGGAATTAATTATGAAATGATTTTGATGAAATATTATGTCTTGATATTGATTTATTTGGAATATAATATAAAAATAACAGAAGTGTTTGAAGTTTTAGTGGTATAACAGACAAGCAGTGAAAGAAATATTATTGTAAATTATTAACAATTGTTTATTCTGTGATTAATAAATTATTTAAAAGTGTTTTATTACCTGAAATAAAAATTATGATCTTCAAGTGTTGTGTTCATGCAATGTTAGTTTCACCTCATTCTATTTAAAATGACAGGAATTATTTACTACATAATGATTTTGTATTAGATGGTAATCATATATATTTTTTAATACAATGTGTATAATAATTCCCATTTACATCAAAAAACTTTGTGTAAATCTATATTTCTCTTATATAGTCTATAGACTTTGGTTGTGGAATACTAATAAGAAACAAAATCTAGAGACTGTAGTATATCACAGCATCCCAGAACCTTGTATTTAAGTCATATAAGGACTTAGTACCTACCTAATACTTGCTACTTTTTTAATCAATTAATTAATTTGATCTCAATCATCATGATGAACAATGATGATAATGTTGAGAATACTGCCAATGATGAATTTTATGGTGGTCATAAATAAATACCACCGTCACTATCGTCAACAGTCATTATTGATCTCATCATCATCACCGTTACCCTCCTTCATCCATATTGTCAAAAGTTACTACCTACTATTATGAACTGAAATGGTAAATAAGCTGACGATCCATCCAACCACGACGCTATCCGACGTACATACATACACATATATTATTAAACAGCATTACGTCATCATGTCGTGCCCGCTATATCCCGCATACGTTATCATTCCGGAGAACATAGATGTTATGCCCAAATATCCTGTAATTTCGCAGCTTAATTTCAACTGAATAACAACTTACATAAATACCAAAAAACTAGCAGTAAAGGCGTAGTTTGTAGATATCGAAGGTTCTACAAATAGGTATAACATCAAAATAAGTACCTACATGTCATTAGCACCGATGTAGTATCCCTGAAAGAACCTACATATAACAGATTGATGGTTTGCAGATATTATTTTCAGTTTTACAAATTGCCAGTTTACCATAATTAACTACATATTGAGAAATAATTACACTGAAAATTATATGAGGTACCCATATGCACATCAATTGATTATAGCTAAAATCTATCACTATCACATAACAATTTAAATAAAAAAAACCGTATTAAAATCGGGCTATTCGTTAAGGAGCTATTGCTCCTTAACCGATAGCCCGATTTTAGTGCAGACGCGTTACGACATATCTTCGTTGGGAGAAAAAAAGTAGGCATGTAAAAAAGTAACTGTAACATAGTACATAGATACATAGGTACATTAGCCGTGTCTGTAGACTGTCAGCGAACAATATTATACCTACATTGAATTTTCGATTGTACCCAATCAGGAGTTCGATACAGTTATATATCTATTATGTACGTATCTTTGCAAAACAGATGTCATGTAGACCGAATTCTCTGCCATCTATTTTCATGCTTTATTACTAATCACCCACTAGTAATCCGAACTGCTTCAGATATAGCGACATCTAGCGCCTACGGCGGCGAAATAAAATAGCCCGAAGAATAGCCCGAGTTAGGAAGGAACCATTTTCTTGTATGGGATGGGGTATCTGTATGTAATATTATATTATCTGTGCTATTACCTTCTAAAATATTTTTAAATGAATCCAATGCTTCAAGAAGTCCTTCACTCAACGGTTTAAGTTGATGTGGATAATAGGAATCAGTACATTCATGAAGTTTTAACGCCAATATTCCTCTGCATAGTTTTGTTCCTTTATTCCTCATATTAGTCCAGTCGTTTAATAAACCATGTAAATTTGATATATGAGTGAAAACGGTCTTAGATATTCCAGGGTAATCTTTATTTGGAGTCATAACCTCTAAAAGAGTTTAATAAAGAATTACGAATCAATTAATATCAGGATAACTTTAATTTCATCACTTTTCTTTGTTTCTAGGAACAAAATATTAGTTAAAGATAATAAAATTTTTAAATATTCAATTAACACTTAAAATTCGTTAAAAGAGCTTATTGGTTATACTCGTACCTTTAGACAGAAAAGTATAATTTGATTTTATATCAGGAACATTGTTATTATTAGACATATTTACAATAACAATAAATACTCAAATCACTTATCTTTCATTATAAACAAGGAACATAATACTCGACTAGAGACAAATTTGACATTTACGATGTTACCAGGTTTTTGCCTTTTTTAAATAGGGTTATGGCTATTACCCATTTTTATAGGTTATTCAGAAATATGTGAGTATTTATTTAAAACGCATTAACACATAATTAAGAAAATATAGGTATTATTAATAAATATATGAGTGTTGTATCAAAATAGATTTTTTATTTTTCACTATAATAAAGAGGTTTTATAAAAAAAAGCAGTTACCTTTTTTGTAAAACACTCTGTATTTTGACATATCAATCTGTCAACGCTAATTTTTATTGTATACAAAATTATTACAAATACAAATGTACTCTGTGGTTAAATTTCAAATGCTTACTTTTGAAATAAGCACTGCTCTAAATTTATTTTCCTAATATTTAATAATTATTGTTACATATACATTATCATTGTTGTAAGTCAGACACCGATTTATACGCTTACAGCCCGCTGTTATTGTTGCCGGCCGACATCACCGGTCCAGATCTCTAGATATCCTCGCGTCAAGTATTGTTGCCTATTAGTGTTTATCAATATATTTTACATTTAGTGCACGGTCTAAAAGAAGTTGATTGGAAATATAATTGTCATATATATTAACTTAATATTTAGTATCGTCACCACAATGTCCGGACCAGTACAGGATGTTGTTGAAGAAGACGCAGCCGATTTACAATTTCCAAAAGGTTATAATTTAATTTATACTTTAAAGAGGATAGTTTTAAATTTTTATTAGGTTGTATGTAGGGTTAGATGTAGCCAGTTAGTGTAGCTATCGTAAATAACTTTATTGCTGGAAGTGGACACATTTAAAATATGCCATGAATCACTGTGGAAGAAATGCTATCAGTGACCACCCCCTCATTTTATTAATATTACAATTTTTTCCTAGTCGTATCAAATAAGACAGACCAATATTTATACAACTATACATTAACAATTAAAACTAAACTTTAATGGACTATAATAAAAACAGTACAATTTTCAGTAATTAATTACTGCTGAAAATTTGCTTCCACACTAATATTTTTCCTTCATATTGAACTGGAATGTCTGAATCAAATTCATTAATTCTCTGATCAATAATGAACATGTTATGTTAATTTTTTTTTGACTTTAAATTGTTGGCCGCACAACTGGGCATTATTACAGCTTCTTTGGATGATAGGGGGTGTGCGCAGGTGGCACTCCAAACCTGTGGAAGGGCTTATGAAGCATCTGTAGGCAAACTCCTTTCTTACGACATGACTTTCGTCTGAGGGCACTATTAGTAGCCCGGACCTCGGGTCAGGCTGTCATAATTTCAATCAGCATTTGAATGTGACAGGGGATAGCTCAATCAGAGGGGATTTTCTGTTTATGGAATTTATAAAAATTATATTAGTGTATAAGTTTAATATTAGAATCTTTTGTAAAACTGTCTGTGAAGGTAGTAGTCCAGTTTAGTTGGTAAACTCAAGACCTTTATTCTCTAATCTAGAGATACCTAACTACATTTAAGAATTAGTTCAATTATACAAAAAACTATTCCTATAAAATGTGCAATATTTTATATAAAAAATAATATAATTGTAATAATTGCACTTGCTGTAATTGATAAAGTTTATGTTTCAAATCTATTTATTATAACAACAAAAATATATATTTTAGAATTTGAAAATGCTGAGACTCTCCTTATATCTGAAGTAGATATGTTATTAGAGCACAGAAAGGCACAAAATGAATCTGCTGAGGAGGAACAAGAATTTTCTGAAGTTTTTATGAAGACACTAACTTACACTAATATGTTTAAAAAGTTTAAAAACAAAGAAACTATTGCAGCAGTGAGAAAGTAAGTTAATTATTGGTTTCCTATGAATTTTCGATATGATTAAAGTTGTCTATTATAAGTGTAGTAGAAATAAGTGAATCTACACAATGTTACTGTCACCCACTAATATATTTTCGTCCCTAGGAATAGACAAGTGTTGTTGTTGATACTGATTAATTTAAAGGACAAGGCAAAATATAATTAATTGTATATTTCCACATAATATAGCATTATATGTAAATGTCAACTCGAGGTATTGTCATTATCTGAAAATCTAATTCATGTTTTTTTCTAGTCTCCTTCAGTCGAAAAAATTACATAAATTCGAGGTAGCAAGTTTAGCTAACTTATGTCCAGAAACATCAGAAGAAGCTAAAGCATTAATACCATCTCTAGAAGGAAGATTTGAAGATGAGGAACTTAGGATACTATTAGATGACATCCAAACAAAACGGAGTTTACAATATTAGAGCAATTGTATGATGATAAATAATGGATTGATTTTATTAATTCTCAACTAGTATATAAGTATTATTTTATTAAGAATCCACACATATTCCTAAATCAATGTGAATATGCTGGTACTGAGTGTCAACCACACAACTTCATTCAGAGCAGTCCAATTTCAATGCTATATTTTTATTACATACTTAAGCGCAGGGCAGGAAGAACCAAGTATATAAATTTTTTGTATGAATATATTTACGAATTTTTAAATTAATAATAGTAAACATTACAATGTAATAGCTTTGTAAATCAAGGTTGGATTTTATTAAATGTACCGAATGTATATAAGGGTTATTGATTTAGAATTAACAGAAGACTGTCTATTTAACATACAAAAGAAGTGTGAATAAAAAAATTAATGTGTTAAATCAGTCTGTATATTGGATATGTCTGCAATACAGCAAGATACATTACAGTGAAAACAGATAAAAGTGATAAAATATTGGAAACAAAAATAGTAATTAGAATTTCTTCTCTGAAACAAAACTATAATAAAACCATCTTATCATTACTTAAAAAGTACATACTATTAATATTGATGTTAATTAATGCCTCCTAACTAAACAAGCCTTTTGTTCAACATCACATGTAAACAAACTAAATGAATTTTTCATTAATAAACCTCAACAATTTTAGATAACTAAAACTCAACAATGCTTTGATAATTTTACTTATTTACTAATTTTGTTGCCTAAACATTATTCATTAACAAAATGCCGAACAAAAGGTTTGCTCCTTTTATAAACTTATATCAATGGGCACTTTTGGTTTAGTTTAAAAGTTAGTATTTAATCTAATATCATTAATAAAAATTACAAACTTATTATTCACCTAAAAGCAAACTTGTAAAATAATATTAATCATCTATAAAAGAACTATCAAATCTAAGGTCCTAGCACATTACTTTATGGTACAACTTGCAAATCTCCTACCCTGAACATATAAAAATATCTTTATGTACTTTAAAAACTTCTACAATTCTTAATAAAGACATTAAATATTTTCACTTTTTCTAATTATAATATTATAATGATATAATATTAAAAATGTCTTTATCATGAACTTCTGTCCACATAAAATGTGGCTATTTAAATTAAGGGGACATTGTTATAGCACACATTTATTAACAGCTAATAATTTACGGGATCTCCGCTAAAAATACTAATCCTTAAATTAGGTAACATTTTATTGGGAGAGACTTACATAAATCCTAAATTACAACCTGGACCTGTGACAAACGTCTTAACTATGTATATTGTTAGTATATAAAGCATATTGGTTATTCTTTTATCGAAATGTGGAAATCTATAAAGCGCCATGGAAGCAGATAGGAAGCAAGGCAAATGTAACCATGAAGCTTACACTGTTACAAATGTGTTATCATGAATAATTTTGCAACTAAAATGTGGTATTATCAAGTTAGATAACTATTATACTTTTTTAACAAATTTATAAAAGATCTTGAGTGTATTTCGATAGCTTATTTTTTAACATTACTGCTAAATATTGCACTTACTTTAGACACTATCTACATTCAGACATCCGGAATTCAAATACTGGCTCGGTTTTATTTTTTTACAGTGATTTTTTATATTCCCATAAATAATAATATGAAATATTTCATCCTTTTATGTAACGCCAAAAGAATATTATTCAGCGTAAGGCTGTGATCCAGCACGCACTTACATACAAACCTGGAGGTGCTTACCATTTATATAATAAAAGACATGTTGCATTTTGAACACCTGCTCTGTCACAAGTCGGTCACTATACACATACACCTCTCTAAATGCTACTCAGCACCTTCAATAACGCGTCACAACTGATGGATACTGTTTACTTTGTGTGCACATATCGACATAATCAAAATGATCACCAAATATAATTACATGCACTGAAAGTCTCAGTTCCGAAAGTTGTCATGTTCAAGATTCATTAACGATTCACTTACATATCACATTCATTTTCAAATAATCAATAATACTAATATATAATAGCAACTTGAAATATTACAATCACAATGTCCATATATATATTCAAATTCGGCATGTATCATAAGTGTAGCTCATATATATGTTTTACTTGAGCAACAATAAGATTCAAAATACGAAATATACTATGTTCGAAAGGTGAGCCGTCAAAAATATATATTAGCCATTAGCTGTTAATAGTAATATACAAAATAGTATAAAATAATTGCGTACGTCCAAAAGCAGATCTAACTATGTTTATGCAAGTTGTCAACATTCTACATTATCAGTCTCGATGTTAAAAATGCATTTTGGCCAAAATGAGAGATCCAACTGCCGTGGTCCATTTGTTTCCAAAATGAATGATATATAATAATGCTGCGTACCTCCCCAGTATACCTGATACAGATACTGTGACATACATTACCTACATAAGGGTAAAATCAATATAAAGGCTTCAGTCGAGAGATTGGAGTCATAATTTAGGTAAGCTACAATTATTATAATTTATCAAATAAATCAAAGAAGTGAGGACGTCCAAAACAGGCACTTTATAGAGTACTATACACTAAGCAATTGCCAAGATACCTGTATCAAAGTACGAGTAAAGATTAAAAATTTCAGTCTATTTTACCAAATTCCACAATTTAAAGCTCCATGAATTAGAAGTTCGGTCAAGTAATTGATTACCGACGCTCTCAATAAGATACTCTGGCCCTCTGAAAATTTGGTCTGAGATAACTTATATTATCCCCGATTTTTTTATAATAATAATAAACAGAACCTTATTTTGAGAATTAAACCCACTTATATCAATATTCCTATAACACAATTCAACTCAACTTTTATTGTTATTAACAGTGTTATGTACATAATTTTTTAATAATACATAATAATGAGATCAAATATATATCCAGTCATATCATGAGATGGTTTCTGCTGGAATTATAAGAGCTACAAAAATTAATGTAACAATATTATAATGATACAATACTTTCCGAAATACTCATATGATTTTATTGTTTGGTTTTAATTTAAAGTATTGTGAAAAACCTTTGGTAGAAATTTCAGCATAATATCAAAGCCTAAATTACGCTCGGACAATTATTCCGTTCAATACATTTTTATAAAATCACATTAAATTAATAAGTGAAATAGTAATGATATTGATAAAATTTATATTACATAATATATTGATGGATTAAGTGTCGGAGCCTGCAATGTAATTAAATCCTATACTATTGCTTTTCACAGTTACTTGAATCCTTTGTCTATTAATCATAACAGGATCTATAAGTTCTCACTCACAGTGTGATAAAAATTTACAAGCATTCATTACTTATATAAATGATGTTTAAGTTTAGCAGTTTCCACTCAGATAATACTAACAATAATAATAATATCTTATTGTCACGAGAGGGTATAAATATATGACAATACTTATAATAATATTCAAACTACTTTGAATAAATTTTCGATGATACAAAACTGTAAAATTCTGTATGTGTGTCATGAGCCTTATTTAGCTGTAAAAATTTATGTATATATGATATGGTGTTTCTTATATCCAATATTGTATGCGATAAAAGTAATGGGTAAGTTAATCCAACACAATTATGTCTCATGTTTCGTATTATGGACAATAAAATGATGTCGCCACAACAACGTAAGATTGGCATTCTTATACTTGATTTATCGAATGGTGATGCTTTATCCTTGTGTTCTGCGCCAAAAAATAAAACTATGTGCCTAACATGTGTTAATAAACATAGCATTTTGTAAATCATTTTAATAAAACATAAATATAAAATACTATATTTTTAATAATTACAACAACATTTCAAAATGTTGTAGATCTTCAATTTGAAATATTGGAATATTAAAGGTTATATTGAGCGATTTTTATATCTTATTATTATTTTAAATACAATACAATAATAAAGAAAGTTGGTTACTTGTCTGCCTAGTTGGGTACTTGTGAAGGTAATTTTTGTCCCAGTAAGAAATATGAACATAAAATAATTCATCATTTATAACTTAAAATATCATTATAATGTTAAATAATATACATAGGTGTTATATATATATGTACATCTACCATATTAGGCATTGAGTAACTGACAATTCATTACACCGAAAGAATATTCTGAAAGACAAGTGACTAACAAATCTATAAATAATTCGATCATTATTGCACATATGAGATAGAACAAGACAGCAATATTTGCGGTTTTAGTCTTTTAAATGCCTGCAGAAGGAATTTAGTAGATTTTTGGCCACTTGCCCTAATATTTGCACTTAACTTATGTCGGAATATAAAAATACGGGTCTTGTTGTGTGGTGAAAGGCTTATGACATTGTATTGAACAACTTGAATACCTTTAAATCACATGAAAGGGTAAGTCAGTGTGAAGTGGAGGCGGGCGGTGAAGGAGGAGGTGCTGGCTGAAGAGGTTGGAATGCCGAACCGAGTGAAGGTCGCAACGTGAACCCTGGCGCCGCTGGTTTCATTACTAACACTGGGTCCGCATATGCACCTTCCCCGGCTTTTAAATTCACCTGGAATTAATTACATATTTTTAATACAATTATATAATGGAAAGATTATTACAATTGTTATGGTTCTGCTAACAGTAAGTGCAGTATTTATTTGTTTTGTCTTACAATTAATTCAGAATCAAATGTCTGGCTGGATAACAATCACATATACTAGATCAACATATTTTACCCTAAATGAAGAGAGCAGGGCCGTCAGATATAAATAGTTTATTTACATGTACTTATTAAAAATACTTTAGACAGATTACAGTGGAAAATTTATTACACAAACTTCATGTTAAATATTTGTATATAGCAACAACACATTAATATTACCTTTTCACACCCATCTGGTGGCTCGCGGGCTAGAAAACGGTTTATTTGTGGAGAAGTGCCGAGTTTAGATCCATCTAAATCAGGTGATGAACACACACTGCCACCTGAAATTATTATAATTATATGTATTTTTCGTTTTATCGGCTTGTTTTAATAAGCAACAATATAACATATTGATTTAATTAAGCCAAAAATATACGTTATTTCTTTGTATCATAAAATCATGATCACTACACTATAAATCCTAATAATTTATCTACATTATACTAATTGTGAAAGCATTCATACTTAATCTAAAATTAAATAAAACCATGCTAGGAAATATCAAACCGTTCTCGTGGTTGGTGCATTGTAAAATTATTGTACATTGCAAAGAGGGTTTTCACAAAAGCCTTATATTTATTTATAGACCTGTGGCAAGTAGTTCCGCAGAACCCCCACTGGAGAGTGACCCTCGGGATGGTGGATCTATGCCCACAATTTATTTTTATTTAATTTGTTCAATTATACAATAATAAAAACAGCCAAATATTTTCCTACTATTTGACAACAATATCACAACTAGCATTTAAATATCAATAAGTAAAGTCAATTAATGTGTGCGAGTTGATTTGCCATGTCTTTCATTTTGAAACACAAAATATAACTTATTCATAAGCTCCTTTATATAGTAGTATTAATTTATTCTTTTCTAAACTCTAATAGAAACTTCTTAGAAAAGAAATTGATCAAAGCAGTGTGTTGGGTAGACATTTTTTTTAACATCATAGTGATTAAATGGTAAAGACTATTAATAATAATAATTTCAATCAATAATCTTGCTAATTGGTAACATTGGTCCATTTTTTTATATTATACCTCATAGACTAACAAGAAATAATATAAATTGTATAATTAAATACCTGAAGAATGTGCTGTATGACAGAGATCATGAGGTGTTTGTGTATTGACGGAACGCCTTAGAAGCTCTGCTAGAGGGGCGCGATGTCCTTCTGGTGTCACCTGAAATATTTACATAACTCTTAAAAGACCAAAATCGCTTAATCGTAACTGTGTGTAATTAACTAATACTGTATCTGATCCTTTAGAAATTATACAGTGTCGAATATTCCATAGTACAACCAGTGGCACTCAATGAGGAAGTAGCCATTATTATTGCTAAAAGTTGCATATAGATGGCGTGATTGGTATCGATGGAATTCTTCATAGTTTTGCAAACGTTTTAAAAAACAAAACTGTGTTTTCAAAAATGTTTAATCAATTTTTAAAAAGTTATATATACATGTTAAAATGAAATAATGCGTTTAGAAAAGTAATTTTCATATATTTACTCATTTTGTTATTTTCCAGTACTTAATTACACTTTAATCAGTGCTAATACGGGGCTCAATGTTTTCAAAATGCTTTCATAGATGGCATTGTCGTCATTTGTATCGGCCTAATTAAATGTCTTTTTTATATTTTCCAATAATAAGCACTTAATATATTATTATTGTAAATTAAACATATAAAAAAATTTTAAGTAAATTAAAAATAGCCGAACAAGCAAGTAATACTATTTCCAATAATACTTATGTATGAAGTGTTGTCATATTAAAAATAAATACATGTATTATCGATTTTTTTTAATAATCGATAACAGGATTTTATTACAGCGCATTATTCGATGATGCTTTTAATGAGTCGTTGTGAACAGTAAATTTTCATTATTTTGTATTATAGCAGTGTTCCGTTTCAAAGAACGGAATATAGTAGTACATTATTAGTGTCGTTGGTTATTTACATTTGTACTGAAAAATCGATTACATAATAATTTAAAATATCGAGTACGAATCGTAGCTGTCTTCGAATACTGGCAACTGGTAAGATTAAAATAGTATTTAAAAAAAAGAGAGAAATCGACCCTAACTCGAATACCATAAAGTTGATTTTCCTTTCTCATTAATATCATAGCAGTTTGTTTTTAACTTGCGTATGACTCTGTGGTATGATGTTTAACGTGTATTGTTATTGTACGGTGCATACATTTCAAAAATTACATTTTAATGTAGGTACATACATTTCTTTCATACATTTCATATATGTCAAAAATTATCTTTTAATGTAGGTACATACATTACTTTCATACATTTCATACATGTCAAAAATTATCTTTTAATGTAGGTACATACATTTCTTTCATTTCAAAAATGAACTTTTTATGTAGATACATACATTTTTTCATACATCTCATACATTTCAAAAATTATATTTTAATGTAGGTACATACATTTCATACATGTCAAAAATTATCTTCTAATGTAGGTACATACATACATTTCTTTCATACATTTCATACATTTCAAAAATGAACTTTTTATGTAGGTACATACATTTCATACATGTCAAAAATTATCTTTTAATGTAGGTACATACATTACTTTCATACATTTCAAAAATTATATTTTAATGTAGGTACATACATTTCTTTCATACATTTCATACATGTCAAAAATTATCTTTTAATGTAGGTACATACATTTCTTTCATACATTTCAAAAATGAACTTTTTATGTAGTTACATACATTTTTTTACATCTCATACATTTCAAAAATTATATTTTAATGTAGGTACATACATTTCATACATGTCAAAAATTATCTTCTAATGTAGGTACATACATTTCATACATGTCAAAAATTATCTTTTAATGTAGGTACATACATTTCTTTCATACATTTCAAAAAGTATCTTTTAATGTAGGTACATAACACCCCATGTCAGACCCCTTGTATTTGGAAGAAACTTAAAAATAATGCCAAAAATATTAGATGAATATATTTTTAATACGAATATTGTTTTATTTTTGTTCATCAACTTTATTCCTCACTAACAATACTAGTAGTAGTACATAACCTGGTTTATACCGCTAAAGATATTGAAAGATATACGAGTAATTCAGAATGTTATCAAGTTCAAAATAAGCACACATTACTTGCTTAGATAACAGAGTAATATTACTCGTAATAAAAACATTTGTAACACCCATATGTATACTACTTATGTATAGTAAGTACTTACGCTGCGGCGCCGTGAGACTCGTCTACCTCATCTACTCATCTACGCGCGGTAACCGCGCCGACCGACCAATAGGAGCGCGCCTCTCGTGTTTCCAGAAAGTTCGCGACTAACGGACGATATAGTAGTAAGGCAATGAGTGTCCCAGTGACATCATTATAATATTTTCTCGTTAAATTTTATTGTAATATACACAATTTCGCACTAAATAACGTGTTACCCCGTTACACATTTCTAATAATGAAAAACCTAGACCGACCCTGTTCACTTAATCTTACAAGATCTGACTTTAAAAATTACGATATCCTCATATAGCCTTTCATTTCCCCTTTCAATACTTTTTCGCATTAAAAAGTAGCCTTTCTCAGGGTCTACATTATCTGTGTACCAAATTTCAATTAAATCAGTTCAGTAGTTTTGGCGTGAAAGCGAGACAAACAGACAGACTGAGTTACTTTAGCATTTATAATATTTGTAAGAATATCGCTATTAAAAATAGGGGTTGGTGAAAGACGGGTGAAAATTTAGGCGTGTATGTATTTTCAATGTAACATTATAAATAAATAAAAAATTGTCCATAATACAAAAAAAATTTTTTTCGGGGTAGGCCACTATGACTTAGGGGTATAAAAAATAGATAACAACCCTACCTCAGACCTGGCAAGTATACATATCAAATTTCATCAAAATATGGGAATCCTCACTGTGATACAAAATTTATATATAAGATATAAGATTAGGTAAAAGAGGGGTACATCGTAGAATACATGAGGTATATACCAGTAAATTAATTGTAGCTAAAATCAGTCTCATACATATAACGATTGAAATAAAAAATCGTATAGCCCGATTTTGATACGTACGAGTATAAACGTATCAAAATCAGGCTATACGTATAGCGCAGACGCGTTACAACATATCAAAAAAATAGGCATGGAATGTAAAATAAACCATAACATAATAGGTATATACATTGGCACATAAGCCATATCTGCAGAGTGTCGGCTAACAATATTATACCTACACATTTACATTGAATCTTGAATCGTCCCTAATGAGGTACACGATACAGTTACCTACATATCTATTATATACATATCTTTGCAAAACAGATGTCATGTAGACTGAATTGACTGCCATCAATTTTCATGCTTTGTTACTAAGCACCCACTAGTAATCCGAACTGCTTCAGATCTAGCGACATCTAGCGGCTACGGTGGCGAAATAAAATAGCCCGAGTTAGGAAGGAACCATTTTCTTGTATGGGATGGGGTATCTGTATGTAATATTATGTTATCTGTGGTACAACTATGCAATGTATATTGTTTACTAAAAAGAATTGGAAAAGTTGCTACACTACAAGCACCTCTCTCTTGTTTTCATGGCTATTTCGTCGCTACTATGATAGAATGGAAACATATTACAACTACATAGTATTATAGAGAGATTCAGTAGACTTTGATACACTATTTAAACAACAAATGTAAAGGGTTACGTCGGTATCCATATACCGTCCTAACACATTAATTGAATTTTGAATATTATGAGTATGTTAAAGACAGATGTATCTTTTTACAAAACTATATTCAATCACTACTTTGTCAGTATATTTACGAAATGTGCATGTTCAATAATAAATACCCACATGTATTTATAAGAATCTGTGATATTCCGGAAAAGAGAAGTATACATAGATACAATACAATACATTGTTTGAAATAAGTGGCCATATAAATATATAAAAATTTTGCCAGACAATTAGGAAATTATATTCCTCAATTAAGTCAAGTAATTTCAGATTCCTTTCTCTTCAATTATTAAATAATATTATTATTTCACAAAAGGAATATTTAAATGATAATATAATACTGTGTCTAAATACAGATTGAAAATATTATTATAATTTGTAGTGTGTTACTACTAATATTTTAAATAATGTTGACATTGAATATTGTTGTAATTTAAACATAGCAAATGACAGATAATTTTTGAAATAATATATTTTAGCAGTAATAATTTAGTCCTAGTAAATAAATAAATTTAAATTCTTACCTTATCCCGTAGCCGGTCTAACTGTGGGGTCTGTGTACCACTCGCTGGGTACAGTACAAGTCTTTCTATCTCTTGGTTCAATCCTTCTACTGACGAGCGGGCGGCTCTCAATGGTACACTACCAGAACCAAAACGGGACCCTGGCGCAACCAATGGATAATTTAATAAGTCAACAATGACTTTTTTAAAAGACAAAAAGAAATGCATGCTTCTAGTTTAATTAGGACTACTGTCCTTGATGTTTTCAGTGGCAAATATTTTATTGTCAAAATTGCTTTTAACAAAATAAGTGTTTACTACTGAAACATTAATTATAGTACACTCAATTAATGTGTTACAGGAATTCATCAACAATATATTTAAAAAAATAAACAAGTAAAATATAATACATGACATTTGCTAACACAAAACTTTGTCGATAATATGTTAAGCAATATGTGTTAGATTTTTAGACTGCCTTGAACATAACATAATACAAATCCAGTAAGTGCCTGACCATTTCTGTACATCATAGTTCACTACAGAACTTACAGCCCATTAGCAATATAAAATACCCATGTGTTCTAACATGTATAAAATCGCTATGACAATATTTATTTAACAAGCACATTACGGAAAGAATAAATTGTAGGCCAGCAAGAGCTAAAATATACATATTAACTAAAAAAATGCATACATAATCCAGGACTCATGGACTGTGTAGAATAATCTCCTGATGCTGAACCTTTGTGTGGCCGTTGTAAGCGACTACGACGAAAGCGATCTAGTTTATCATCATCAGAACTCCTAGATGATCGACCTGATGCTCCACCTCCGTCATCTGTCTATAATGTTAAATTGTATGGTGTTCAATTATAATATATTATAAACAACAAATGCAAACTATACAGTCTACAGTAAAATATTTCAAACATCATGAAAAGGGTTTAATTTTAAAACCCTTTTCATGGGTTTTAAATCGATTTATTTAATTTATACCACCTATGAGTTATATATTTTTTATTTGAATTATAATTAATGATTTGATTGTGGGCTATACTCAACAATAGTAGTAGTATTGAATATAAGATATGACTTAACTTAATTAAGGAATTTAGATTGTTTAATAATTTAAAGAACAAAACAACTATTACAAGGTATGAATTATTGAAGACACATTTACTAAAATAGATTAATTTGTTCCATGGTAGTTGTCAGTCAAGGAGAGGTGGATTTTTCATTTGTACATAATATGTCTAAAATTCTGACAACAAAATAAAATATTCTGTATATACAGAATACTTAAATCGATTTAATACTTCATAATATTTATATTATGCTTCATTTTAGATTTCAATTATCAATTACTATTATCATTACAGGTACACACAATAATGCTATAATACAACATGTTTAGTTCACAAAAGACTTACTTGTGTAGATTTGTCAACTTGTAGCTGGCCAGCATGCAGATAATAATCTCTGGACCACTGTCCCTTCTGATCAAGTGTATCCAATGAAGCTGTACGCCTGATGACATTTGAACCAAAGCGCCCTTTACCTATAATTAAAATTATTAAAACAATTTTTATTAAATAGTAATAATGAAATATATTTTGAACAATTGAATTTAAGTTATTTAGTACATATTGGCAGTAAAAGAATCCAAACAATGAATAATGCAAACTTAATGTTTCTTACTTACTGTATCAATTTTTCAACACAGCAGACTTTCTAGTCTTCTGTAGGAGTCTCTTAGTCACTTATTTCAGTCGCCAAATATAAGCTGTCTTTTGGTTAAAGGGTTAAGGTAAGGTGTCAGTGTCAAGTTAGTCCTCTGGAATGGACTGCATTACATGAATGGTGTGACATGATCTCGCAATGCCCATGGTGCTGTTCACATATATAGGTGATAATTACCACCAGGTGGGCTATCAGCCTGTTTATCATTCTAATTACATAAACAAAAATAGTCATTATTATGAAGAATACATGGAAATCGTAAAATAAACAAACCTTTGTAATTGACAGCACCAGGACTCCGTTGACCTGAGAGGGCGTGATCAGGTGATATTCGTCGCCATATATTTGTGGGAGACAAGGTTGGACTGTTGCCAGTATTCCTTTTTAGTCCGCCACTCTGTTTCATCACAGAAGATACGGGCAAGGTCGCCCTCATCGGTCCCTTACCGACCGGGCAATCAGACTGCTTTCGAACGCGTCCGGACATGTTCACTACGACTAATAAAGTGAACTGAACTCAGAACCTCCCTACAGGCAATTAAACTATAAAGTTCTATATCGGCACCAGTAAAAAGTCAATTCTAATCATCGACGCCGTTGATTCTTTGTATAGAAAGCGCTACAAACTTTTGTATAAACAATACTGTCGGTGTAAGTACGGCAGTAACATGTACGAAATCCGGTAATGAGAGCTTCTAATAATAATCAAAAACATATACTGTCTCCACTAATTGCTCATCGTGTTATTACATGAAAATATATTCACAAAGCGAACAAGTCACATTTTTTTCTACACAATGGATGAATGAAGCTGACAGATGACAAGGGAGGTCGCGCCATTCCTTCTTCTGGTGCACATTTTAAATTATATAAATAATCCGCTGGTTTATTTAATCTAGTACTTCAGGAAAGGTATTAAAATTATACAAATACACAAAATAATTATGGTGATTAAAATAAATAAGAAATATTGGGTGGCATTGCAATTAACAGCTGATTAATACGCCATGACAATATATCTTCTATTTGTCTATGGGTTTAACATTGCCATTAGTATTAAATAACCCTACAAGGCTATAGTGTTAGCACATTTAGTTTTAGCCTAACATTTTTATCTTGCTAATGCCAATTATTCATCAGACTGTCCAATTAAATACTTTTTACTGTAAACTATGTACGAGTAGTATTCTAAAGAAAGTAGTAGTAAACAAAGTTGAAATAGTGGAGGCTTTTAATATTTATATTTTGAGGTCTCATGTGCGCTGCGCTTTAAATGTTATAAGGGCAGTGTATACAGTTAACAGATTTTATTTAATGGTTGAAAACGGACGCCCGCTTTCTCTAGCGATATAATTCATTACAAATTAACGATAAATTCTAGGGTCTCTAGCTTTGGGGTCAACCTGACATGGTCCATTGCTAGCAATGGGGCGTATTATACTAACAATTACTACACTTCCAAGTAGTGCAGATGGATAACAAAAACACGATGTTTTGAATGTACGTTATGTACAAGGAAATTACAAGAAAGAATATGCCATTATTATGGGAAGGTGGTAGTTTTAGAAAGAAAAAATGAGCACTACTAATAACATTTAATATTGATCACGGATAATTTGTGTCCCAATAGTAAATTGGTGTCGAAATAGACCAAAATACAATCAGTACCAAAGAATATACTACATCAGTACCTACAAAAAACACTTGGTGTGGCGCTGACAGGTATCAACTTTCACGTAAGTATGAATCAAAATATGAATTATATTCATGGGATCATGTTGGAAAAATTAAATTACCACACTATTTAAGTAAGATTTATAATTGAACATAAATGAATAAAAATGGAAATAAAATTGTATTTCTTATACAAAACAATTGCACCACAATTAACTGATATGTACCAAAATTTTACAATGTAAAATAAAGAGAAAAATATAAATTCTACTTCAAATAAGTAATAATATACATTATAGTTTAATATAATAATTATTGGCCGGCAATAATAGTAAGATAAATAAATCAATACTTTTATCGAATTAGATGTTATTTTGCGGAAGTCCATTTCACTACTTAATGGATTTATATTATATTGTTTAATTCCGCTACAATCAGCACGTTTGAGATCACAAATATTCAGTGCGGATATTTGACCACCGTTACGACCTTATATGTACCTTATAATGGTCAAATTCCGACCGTTATTGAGTCTACATCCACATTGCAACACGTGTTTCGCCATTGAACTTGGCATCGGCGAGCATTGAATAGAATTCAGATAAAGCTTGGAAGAGAAGACTCTTGGGTGATCGAACCACGGGCCGCAGATTGGTCACGGTTAAATGTTAAATCATTGTTCATTATAAAACAAAATATATATATTCATATAACATCAACAGAATCATCTTTTTGAATAAAATTTTTATGTAGTAATTTGAAAACGGTAGGCCATTTCATTCAAACCTATTTTGAAAGGAAACAATATAAAGGATATTATGTAATTTGGTCCTTTGTAAATTAATACATACAAGTAATTACGAATTGAAATACAAAATAATTGTGCCGATCATTATTTAGCAAATAACATGAGTGGTATACAATCACATAAGAATTTGCACTTAATGCACCACATACCTAAATTGAAGACAATATTATGAGTGACCCTACTATTTTGTTACTATTTCAAGAACAGAAGTTTTTAAATTCATTATTTATGCCTCAAATTTTTAAAAGAAATCTCCATCATTATAAAATTACTTGATAAAATTAGTATTATCTTTTTATTCAAATGCATTTAAAGGAAAAGGAATTTAACATGGTATCTTAAAATAAAAAAGTTCTGGTCCCATAATACTTGCCATTGTTCTCATCTCAAACATGAGTATAAATGTTATCAAATATTAAGACGACTATATCTGGTTATGTGGTGCGACAAATATCACTTATTTAAAAACTATCCTGTACTAACATTGATTAAAAAGTCCGTTTGTAAGGTCTAAGGTCCTTGATAAATCTAGTCACTAATTATAATAAGCTAGCTGTCTGCTATACAAAAGTCTTTAAAATTACATAGATTAATAATTCATATCAATATGTTAATCATTACTTGTCTTATTGAGCAATTTTTTGCTTTTTTTCCGCAATCCATGCTTGGATCTTTTCCTTTAACTCGGTGTTGGACTTAACTTGGTCCATTGACAGAGGCGAACGATTGAATGGGTCTGATTGGTCGCTTAAGAGATGTCTGAAAAAGAAAAATATTTTTTTATCAACATAGACAATCAAGTCAGGTTTTTAAGAAATTTGTCAATACCAATTAACTAATAATTTATATGTATCAATACATTTAGGTTTAATCATATGACTGCTTATGAAATTTCATAATTTTCTTAGACTAATATGTAATTTACAAATAGCACATGGGTTGTTGAGTTACATCCTGGGCCTAATGTGTCAAATCACATACATTTTACATATTTTATTATTTTATCTTACCCTATATGTTAGTCATTAAAACCAAGCGTAAGTCGAAAGAATATTAAACAAAGAATTGAAGAAAACAGAACAAATATTAAAGAGCTATGGGATTTACGAGTTTTAAAAAAATATGCCTTTAACTGTAGGGATTGTTGTTAAAGCATGTTATTTCTATCTGTATTTAATGTACAAATAAAAATAAATAAAGGAAATCCGCAATACAAATACGTATATTTATCAATGCGAATCTACATTAACGCTCCTAAATATCAGTTGCATTTTTACTAGTATGACGCCTTACGATACTAAATGTTACTTTAACTTACTTCTTTATTCTGTATTTTAACACTAGTTAAAATACAGAATAAAGAAGTAAGTTAAAGTAACATTTAGTATCGGTAACTAAATTAGATCCAGGATTTGGGCCGAAAACATATTATCTAACATATATAATAATAGCTGAGGGTATATTTCACTTAGGATATATATTAGATTAACAAGAAGACAATAATATAATAAAAATATGTTTATATGTCATTTAGTATAATACCTAGCAATAGTAGTACGATCAACGGTGGTTCGTGAGCTGGGCAATATGACGGGGTCTAGCATGATGGTGCTCATGATGGGATCAAGGAATTCATCAGGCGCGTTGGCTAGGATTTCTTCATCTCTCTGGCGTTGTTCAGCTAGATTGCTCACACGGGACGCCACCTCTTGTAGTGACCCAATCAAACTACCTCCTCCGATGCGGACTAAATCAATTAAATAAATACCATTATTTAGCTTTATATCACGTTTCGTCGCGTAAAAAATGTATGCAAAATGACATGTAAATAGTGCTGAAAGTCTGAATGTGTAACGTCCTTATTTACAAGTTAAGACTTATAATATTAGTAGGATGTCTCTGTCTATCTCAATAACCTTGTGTGAAAGTTTATTGGATACTTGTAAAATACATACGTATATCAATGCATTTAGCTTTAGTTACATGACCATTTGTTTTGCCACTATCAAGCTGGTGTTAATTGATTATTTTTGTGCATTAATAAAGGCTTCTATACGCCGATTGTCATGAAATTTGACCTATATGTAGGATATAGTTATGAAATAGATAATCGAGTAACTCCTTTCTTGTGTAGTCAGAAGTCAAGTACAAGGAAGTTCCTGTTTTTGCTTAAGTCTCAGTTTCAATTTAAGATATAGATGTCTACACTCACCTAATACTGCCTCGGCTAAGGTGAACAGCTGGGGTGAGTAGGAACGTCCGTCATCGGAGACTGCCGCACAGAATCGCTCGTTGCTGCCTAATTCGACATACATGCGGCAGATGTCCAGTACAGTGCTCGCCGGGTCGAATTCAAACTCTTTCATGTCTTTTACCTGTTGTTAATAGCCATAACAAGTCTCATAAATCTATACCAACATTATAATAAATGCTAAATTATGTCTGTCCATTGTTAGTTCTTAGTCATAAGAGGATAAGACCTATTGATGACTATACGGAAGAATGGATTGTAACTTTTATCTGAAGCTAACTTTCTTTTCAATAAACTAGACAAAATCGCGAGTATTATCGTTTACTAGTAGTGACAGAACTACATACCTTAAAGTTTTTCTTATTGGGACCAACTAGATGTAATAGGAAATAATTGAGCATTGAGGCGATGCGTTCCACTAGCGTCGGATGGCAGAATACATAAGGCGCATGTGCCGATAAACGCACTAGCGTGCGAATAGTGTCGCGTCCTAGTATGTTGTCGAAACGCGCCAACATGCCTATGTGGGATAAATTGCTTAAGTTTTGCTCTCGCTCCTGCATTGGTAAGTTCGCCCAAGCACCAGTCTCTCTGAAAATAAGCGAAGCATACTGGTCGTTATGTAAATAATAACACGTAAGGCATTGTACATTTCGAAATTATTCATCTTCTTATCTATGTTTTGTTATAAATTTACTCTGCCCAAATTCGATCAAACTATATTTGAGGCTAAAGTTAGAATAATTACTCTATTGTAATATGACGCCTGCAATTACTAAACTGTTTATATATTTCTTATATTATTTTAATAGTCTAAATTATAATAAATAAAATCAAGAACATACTGAGCTGTTTGCATGGTGCGTATTTGGGCCATGTTGCCGAGTGCTTCGTCCAAAAGGAATATGGCGTCATTCATTAGAAGGTTAACAAAACGTAAAAATATCGGTGGGTGCACAGCTTCCATATTAGCCTCTGCCTCTCGTGCAAGTCGTCTGAAATCAACATTTTATACAATTAATATACTACTGTCAAAGTAATATATAAGTTGAAATAATTCCTTATAATGTACAGAATATCGTTATGTGAGTTATATATAAAATATAACATAATATTATGTAAGCTATGTAGTGTAAAATTTTTACCTAAACCATAAATAGTACTGGAATGGAACAGTTCTAACAAATAAATTGAAATTGATTACTATAGTTGATGGTTACAAATTTTCAGTCTTAGTCAAGTAATATTATATAAAATCACACTTTATGAATGCAAGAAAGTTTTGTGCAATAAGAATAGACTAATATTGCTGTTGGTATTACAGTAATCCACAAATTATTTGTCGGTATGTGTGACTTACGTGAAGGCTTCTCTATGTTCTTCTAAACCCCATAAAAAGTCCATGACCAGGTACATAGGGCGACGATAGTTGAATTTTTGTTCAAATTGCACACTCTGTCCCGTCATTTCAATGCCGACGAATACATCCAGTAGACAAGGAACGAGCTATGAAAATGAATGGACATATATATATACTATACTATTGGTCAAAATATTAAACTACTGAACATAACATAATTCGTACTGAACATACATAGATATTTAGATATTCAAAAATAATGTATATGATTTAACAAATCCTAGATTACATTTCCATTATTATTCCTGTACAATGAAGGAAAATTGGAATTAAAATCTTTGCTAATAATAGACTAATCTCTTCTCTTTATTTCTTTTTGAAGTTTACAATTGCACTTTTGTTGATGATGAAGAACTAGCAAGAATATCACTTGTTTTTTAAATAGTTGGTAGTGTTAACTCTTAATTTATAAAACATACTTGTAATCGATGGGGATGTTCCTTAAATAACTGTTCTCTGGAGAAAGAGGCTAAACTACTGAGCGGTTGTTGGTCATCGGGATGGTTTGGTAACATTGCTTCAAGGCACTCGGCTAATCGCGCTCTGGAATATTATTAAACAATGTTTATTTTATCTTATTATTAAATGATATTATATTGTCTGTGTTCATTTATACGCTTTATTGTCCAAGGTACTGAAATATTTTCAAATATGTATATGTAAATACTGCTGTACAGACTAGGTACATATTATGCATAAGTATATTTCGTTATAATACCTCAGATGTGGATTATATGTTCGACTAGAGTCACCCATAAAAGTAAGAACGAGCGATAGAGCAGGACGCAAGAGATCTGCAATATCCGCGTCTTCAGTTATTGCACCCACGGTCCGCCGTGCCATTGTTATCAGCACCACAATATTTTCTAAAACAAATTCTGGAACACATCTGTGGAATATAATGGAAATAAATATTCATAATAAATCTATCTACGTATTATAGAAACAGACAAACACAAGCAGTGGTTGTGTTCGTCTGTTTCTAAATTCATTTATAGAGGTATAAATGAATTTAGAAACAGACGAACCATGGGATTGGTCACTTAAATTCAGGAAAAAAGTATCCTATGACATAAAGTAGTTATTTGAAATGCTTCAAGAAATATAACGAGTAATAAACTAAAATAAATTTATTACTCTTTTTAATGAAATGTTAGGCATAGACACCTAAATAAGAAAATTAATGTACCAAATTCAATTCAAAAAGAACAACAGCTGAATTTGTTGCCTCTTCTTCTAAAGTGAAACTGTAGTCAGAGCTTTACGGTGGAAAAATCATGATATAAAATTAACCTACATAAGCGGATAAAATGGATAGATGATTTTGTAATTGAATAAAAAAATAAATGTATTTGGTATTTATAGCAATTATTCAATAATAAATATTTAGTAGATGAAAGAGTGAGAGGACAGTGGTCTTACATATTTGTTCCTAATTATATAAATGTATAATATGTGTTGTAATATTTATGAGGGTAAATGATTTATCATGTATTTGTGGGTGCATTGATAATAAATTCAGTCTTGGTCGAACTTGCATTTTATTCACAACAGTATGTACCTCAAGTTATCCGGCGGCGGTGTAGTCACAGGCATATTTAGGGGCAAAAATTCATTGGGTGCATATGAAGGCAGTGGGTTGGGGGCGTCCGGGCGCACCGCCACTTGTACCAACCAGTGCAGAGAGTGGTGGCGATAATGATGGAAATGTAAAGACTCTCCCACCATATCGTACATGTCATAGCTTGAAGGCGGTTCAGGTTCGCCAACATGTCGTTTTCTAGAAGTGCACAACGGAGGCTCACGAATCTGTGGGATATTACAGGGAATATTTTTAGGGTAATATATTTTGTTCTAAACTTTATAGACAGTTTCCACTTTGTATTTACCTATTTGTGTACGAAATAGGATCTTAAAAATAAAAAAACCTATTTTCACCTGGACTCACATTATAATAAGAATAAATCTTGTTATAATGTGAGTCCAGAGAGAATTATAATGTGAGAGAATAACAGTGTATATTTATGTTTATTGTCTAGCTACATCCAACCATTTCTATGAATATATATAGTACCTGCAAATAAATACAATACAAGTTTCCACTGCACATGCTGGTTCATGTACCACACATTCTACATCTAGTTTGTATCTCATTATTTTTCCTATAATATTCCTATATTATATTTTATAGTAATTTGAAATTTTTGTCTAGTTACCAATAATATAAACATAATAAATTCTTTACAACTAACTTGCTCATAAGCCTTTGGACACGCTGCCGCATTGGTTCTAGCAGATGATGAGCGCTGGCAGCCACATCGGTAATCGCACGCTGTGCACGACCTAAATCTTGCCCGCAGCGGTACAGCTTCTCTGCACACACTCGCACACCTTGCATAATAATTTTTTTTTTTTTATTTATATATAAAAACTTATTGCACAAATATAAAACAAAATAAAGGTGCATATGGCGGACTTAACACCATGAGGCATGTTCATTTTTAAACAAAAATATATATGTTTAAACATTATAATGTTCTATATAACATTTCTATGTTCTATTTTGCTCAGTATTCTTAATATTAGTTAGCAATAGTATGCAAAAATTAATTTATGATTGATCAAATTACTAAATAGCAAGAATATAATAAATTAACCAGAACTAAATATAATAAAAAAATATAACATTCTGTAAACACCTACCCAAGTCAATACACTTTTGAGTCATAAAAAAGCACTCAGTTACAAAGTTATATGTGTCTGCAGTTGGTCTTTTGACTGTTTGGCCATCAGCACCCTCTCTTGCAGGCAATAAACATGTTTCATTATGAAGGCAGTCTAAATGAACTGATTTAGCTGCACTTTCTGCTGGCTGCAATAAAAATATTAATTTTGAAACATAAGGTATACATCTGTACAGATTAAATAAAAGGTGGAACACTACAACCATTGTTTTAATCATATATTTTTTTGTATATATATGTTTTGTATGTATTTATATATCTCATATATATGATGTTCTAAAAAGCCTTCAATCAATGCAAAATAACTATAAATTAGATTTCCTATATTAATAGGAAATCTAATTTATTTATTCACTATAAGCTAAAATATAGCATAAAATGTTCACACAATAAAACTAAACTCAGTATCTTTTTCTTTAAAGTAGAAAATAATAAAAAGTAAGTATTAATGTATAAAATCACTTACAAGTACTGCTCCATATGTTGGGTCAATTTTAAGAGATTTAGGATCTTCTGGTGATGTACAAAAAGGTTGACATAACTGTAGTAACACTGCACCTAAGTTTAACATGAAGCCATCTGACACACAGGTCAATGATTGATTTAATTCATTAGCCTGTAAAATTTATTAAAATTTATAAGATTAATAATAATATCTCAAAAAATTCACACAGCGCCATCTAACCTCTAGATCAGCAAGGTTGTGGACAGCGCAAGTTTAATTCTGATAACATAATTTAAAAATGGAGAGATAAACATGAGTCTAGTTTTACCTGGACATTCCATAGTTTTCCTCTAGCGACATTTGACTTCAAACATTTTCCTATCCATGTCAACAAACGGTTCCTCATGTGAGGCCCACCTTTTAGTAAAGTTAAGAATATTTTGTGCATATTATTTACGAGATGACAAGATGCATTACAGATAGATGTTTCAATTAACGATGTTGCAGCCTGAAAAAAAATATACATAATACACAAATTGACATTTACAAATTTATTAATATATATAATAAAACCTGCCAAATTCTATTAAACTTATTATTAATAACAAATTAATTTTTAACAGTATGTTTATATGAACTGTGTAGTGGCTCTAGCCTGGGTGGCTTGACACCACAAGTTGACTGACAGTTCAGATAGAAGTCTTTATGGCATACATGAGACAATAAACAGAACTATTTAAATTACAATAGCGGTTGACAGTATGACATTGAAATCAGGGCATTGTAGAGAAATTAAAGCATTGTGAGCACTAACCCACCCCATTACTAACAATCATCTTCATCTCAATAACATAGTTCTATTCATAAACTTATAGATTCTTACCTGATCTAATGGATTATCAAAAAACTCATGCTGGGTTGTTGGTGTCTTTGGCAGGGCAGAAAGACTGAGCAAACTACCAATAACTGAATCTTGGTAAAGTCTGCCATTTGTTTCAATTTTAGGTTCACATACTTCCATTAAAATAGATGCTAAATTTGAGTTACCTGTAATTAAATATGGAAGCATTGCTTTTATTTACACTATATAAAAGTGGCAGATGCAAGCAGTTGGCCCACTTGATGAATAGTGATAATATAAATCAACTATGAATATTGTAGAGATTTCTTCATGGTTTTCCAGATATAGTAGAAGAAACACATAAAATGTAAATATAATCTATTGTTAATTTATATTTTTATATCTAATATCTTGGTATGGTAGGAAAAATTTGAATGAAAAATACAGTTTTTGCTGTCAATTAGAGTAACAACAAGCACATAAGATTTTAACATATGAATTAGGGTAATAAACTTAAATTAACTAAAAATATAATATTTGTTTAAAATAAAATGCATGGAAATTCAACAACATCCTAATAGGCAATGATTAATTTCTCAATGCACAGACAAAGAATACTTAAAAGTAAAACAAATTATATATAAAAAAAAATTCTTACTTGCAAACAGGTGTATTGCTGGTAAAATGTATATGGGCAGGCTGATTATGTGAGATTTGTTGATATCTGTATGTATTCTTTGTAATACAGGTATCATAGTATTACGAAGTTGCTCTTGGGTCTCACCATCTCCTGTAACATTAATACAGAAACTTTTAAGTCAGTGACAAAACAATCATTTGCTCAACTATGGAAAAAGTGATATGTCTTACCATCTGCAATAAAAGATTTAACTACATCTAAAAAAAATGTTTGGCTTTGTGGATCAACATGTTGCAAGAGTTCCAACAGTTGTATTGAAAAATCTTGTCCTTCAAACAGTGCTGGTTGTTTTAGTGCTGTTACTGCATTCCTAAATATTAGTTCTTTCATCCTTTGCAAAGCTTTTTTGACAACATCTGATAAGCTATGATCATAAGTCTGTAAGTTTTGATATGAACTAAATAAATATGGAAATACATGTTTTTGAATTACATGTTCTCTAAATGCTTTATTTGTTTTGGGTATGACATATGCCTCAATATCTTGTAGAAGCAATCTTTCAAAAAGGGCTTGTTCTAGCGCTTCTAAATCTATATATATGCGAGGTTTTGTAGCTTCAGCTAGTTCTTCTAGGTACACTAATTGCTTGTCTGTTGAAGGATATCCATCAATAGCATTAGCATTGATCGTAAAGTGAAAAACACTTTCTACTATACTGTTTATTATCACATTTTCTTCGTCTTCTTGCGATTTCCTTGACGACGCTTGTAACTGTGCTGTGCCTTCTGAATTGTCATCATTATTAGTTCGATTAACGCCTGATACTCCAAGAAGACCAGCGAATGGATTATTCGATTCGGACATAGTGGTACTATGAAAATCTATACAATTTACGATACGAATTAATATTCTAAATATTTCACATTATAATTAAATGAATGTATGTCTTCAGAAAAGTGCTGATTTATCATAAAAATATTTGATACAAATTATAATTAATCTTTGGATAACTAATTTAGATGCTTTAATTTTAGTTGATGAAATATGATGATAAATGATTTTTAAATAATGACACTAGTGACAATGCACAAACTAGGTAGAGACTAAAGACTAGATAGAGGTGTGATATAATGAATGACACTGACATAGGTACGTTATCATCTGTAGATGGTGGTTTGACGTTTCTAATTAATATACTAATTTAATTCTATTATTCTAGGTTTACTTTGTTTTAGATTTTTAAGTAGGTATGAAGAATAGTAGATAATATTTGGAAATGGTAATGAAAACACCTCATATATGTTTTTCTCTTTGCTCGTTCCTTGAGGTATAAATAAGATAACAATTAATTTATGGTATTAAAAAAATGTTAATCCGTTGATAAACCATAGCCATCCAGCTCTCTGTATAATACATGAAAGTACATATTATTTAACTATTATGAATTTGTTTAGACATTTTTTTTATTTCATCTCTTTCCACTATATTATATGGGCCAAAGCGGATCTTTTTATACAATCGGAAATCCTTTAACATACTGAATTATATTATACAACTTCGTCTATTTATTTCGAGATATTTTTAAACATAGTAGTGATGTAATAGAGTACATTCATAATTGAAATAAATTTTATGAGATTTTAATTTTTATGAACAAATTCCAAATTTAAATATTTTTTAACTAGCAAACTTACATATTTTATTAAATGGCAACATTAAAAGTGTGTTTGTAAGTTGAAGTACTTTTACATCTAAATTAAAAATATGTGAATTTTTAAAAGTAGAAGAATAACTATAATATTATAAATTAATTAATTAATATACTACTATTAACTATTCTGCTGTATGGAGAAATAAAAGGCATGCTGTGTACTAAAATTTGTTTTGCGTCATTTCCGACTGCTACATAAGTGCCATCAAGCTGAGTGCGGGGAAAAATGGTACTAAATATTTTCTCCCCTGTTCTTTGTTTCGCTGCAGTCATCGTCCGAAATCAATATAGCGTACTCGAATTGTTACGTCTTTATGCAGCAATGCTATGAAAGATTCCATTTTACATGGCGTATAGTAGTCGCACATAGTGAATCGTTCATTAATGTAAGATTGGTAACACTTAAATATTATTTACTTAATAGGTCATATGAATCCGTGTCCCATATATACTGAAGTGCTCGATGGTCCAAGGAATTTTACACACGTGAAATAAGTCATATGTTACACATAAATTTACATTTGCGCGTTCTTACTAAATTGGTAAATAATCTTCGTTAGTACATACTTACTCATTCTATATTTCTACATTGTAACAATATGGCGGTCTATTTCCGATTGCCCGGGTTGTAAATGTTATGCAACTTTTTTGTTTTTTGTGCATGTCCAGTCTATCCAATATTCATTTTCTAAAATTAATTATCCGTTATTATGTTATATATACATAAATTTGATTATATATTTCTAAGTATCTAGTTTTAATTGCGATATATTTTATATAGCTTATTTCCGAAGGGTAATTCCTGGTGTTGGTTAACTTCTAAATATATTAATAACTTTATTTTCTCTATGTTATATATATTATAATTTGTATAAAGTATTTCTTAATATATCTCTTGTTTATAAAATTTAATTATAATACTATCAAATTTAGATGTCATTTTGCAGTACAGTCATTACATTGGCACGTCATAAACCTAGGCGTCATTTATAGTAGTGTGAGTGTATGTATACATATTGTGACCTCGTTAAGGAAGGGAAGGACACATAGATATCTTTACGTTCTAGAACACTGACGTCATTCGAATCGTGGCGAGAGCGCAGCAAAGCATTGTGAAATGTGAGCGGCCACCCACTTGTCTTGCCTGGCCGTAGTACCTATCTAACTAATTTACTTGAAAGTTGTGGCTATGGACAGTTATTGTACTGACTTCTGCCATACATGTTGATTTCTTACTGCGCAACAATTCAGTAATTTTGTGATATTTGGAGATCTGCCTAATTCCCAATGATAATTGTTCCGACGATTATTAGGTATAGTATTTAAGACAACACGGTTAACAATGCCGTGTAAATGGTTGTTATTAGTAATATTTAATATGTTAACTATTTTTATAGCAAGACTAAATTGTCTGCTTATAGTCACATTGAAGGAAGAGTAGGGTATGATTTAAAGAATGTATCTATGTGGACTTTGCATTAGTGTGCGTTGTTCGCTGCGGCCATATTATAGGTGGTCATTATATATTTATAATTGTTATTTGTTTCGTTTGAAGAATGTCATAATTTTTATTTTGTATAATAGAAACCTATAAGGCCTTTATTATTTTATTGATATATTTTAATACCTAAATGCAAAACAGGATGTTGGTTTCAATTTGACATAAGGCTCTTCAATTTAGTCGTATAATACAAATATGGCTTCCTGCGCAGTTACACTACCTATTTTTAACATAACATGACAGTCATCTTTTCGTCTATATTCAATGATTTTTATATTATTTAATTATAAATATAGCTTTGTGCTATATCAGAGAATAGATATTATGAAGGCATTAATATGTTGTAGATATTTTGATTTATAAATGGTTTCGTCAAATCAAATTATATTACAGTTAAATAGTTATTTCGTTAATTTAGACTAACGGAATTTGGTAATATCCTGTCAATTGCATTTTCTATATTAAGTAAAAGAAGTATATACCCGATATTTTTTTTAAATAGGTACGGTGTGCATTTGTGGAAACACTAATCTGAGAAAAATGTTAGTTGAGTTACCTAATTATTTTAATTTAGTACATAGGTACCTACATAATTTATTATAAAGAATACATAAAACATACAAGATATTTTTATATGCACTATGAGATGTCCGATCGTAATAAGTAATCTATCAGTCCATTTATATGAAGGTCACAACGCTCAAATTCGTCTTTGTTCTTATAATAGTTAGTCACTGATAACATTGGAATTAGGGTAGATAAATAATAATCTATCACGTTATCGTAGAATTTGTACAAAATTCGTAAAATATTAAATAGGTATTGAATATTATTTGAATGAAACATTACCAAGGTTTTGTATAATATAGTGTATACCAATGTCGAATCTAGAAATGCATGCATAGTTCTTTGCGTCGAACATTTCCCTTTTCTATTTATTATATCGCATAGGTAATATACCTATATTGTAACCATTGATAATAAAAGCCGGTATTTTTTATTTTTAGCTAAAGCGATCGTTGTAAGTAGACATTTAAAAAATGTTAAAGTGCAAAAATTCGACTGTATGTACACACAATAATGATTCACTTTTTTAACCGATTTGAAAGAGGATCCAGTCTACTACGACATTATATTTTTGTGTGTATGTTATATGACTACAAGACTGTCTAAAATCGACTCCGTTTTCCAAATTGAGCTGTTATTCGTGTATTGAGAATCTATTGTAATGGAACCTTTTTAATTCAATTCTTATCTTATACTAATTTAGCAAAACTACGCCAGTATTTTAGTGAATAAGATTTGAATTGTGACTCTTATAAACAACTTAGTGTATTATAATATTTTTTTTCTCAATTTCAGTGACGCTTTTAAAATGGCTGATGCAGAAAACAACATAGATGATTTAGAAGATGGCGAGATCGAGAGTGATGGAGAGGATCCAGTGGAAACGCAGAATGTGGAAAAAGAGGAAGATACAGTACTTCCAGAAAAAAATACTCAAGAAAATAATGAATCACAAGATTATTATTTTTCTAAATCAGGTAAGAAAAAGAAATCTAAAAATAAAGGAGATCAAAAATATAAGGATAGAAGTAAAAAAAGTCGTAAATATTCCAGTCCAACGGAGGACGATTTCGCAGGTACCATAGAAAAGGCTATTAGAAAAGCAATGAACAAAAATGATGATGCTGATAGTCATGCGGAAGATAATGGTGAAGATAGGCGTAAACATAAAAAAAGAAAGAAATATGACAGTAAAGACGGCCCTAGTAAGAAACGAAAAAAACAAGAATATACAGATGAAATGGACGAGAACGAAATGATGTGTGTGAGAGGTGCGTCTCCTGTGCAAAAATCAATAGATTCATCATTTGCAGAAGATGATAGAGATTCCTATGCTTCAGATAGTAGTCATGAATCTCGTGGACAACAACATCATCGTACACAACGACATAGGCCACCACAACGAGAGCGAAATAGAATGAGTAAAAATGAACGAAGAAGAGCCGCACATCAAGGGCATGATTCAGATGGACTTTGTTTGTATTATATGCAAGGCAAATGTCATAAGGGTGATGATTGTATATATTCACATGATGCCCAACTACCTAGAAAAATGGAATTGTGTAAATTTTATATGATGGATTGTTGCGCAAAAAGGGATAAATGTTTATATATGCATGCAGACTTTCCTTGTAAATATTACCACACTGGGCTTCCTTGCATATATAAAGATGAGTGTAAGTTTGCACATGGTAAGCCACTGTCAGAAAGTTTAAAGAATATTCTCTTAAAGCATATTGAATCAGCACCCAAAGAAATTTTAGGAGATTTTCCCAGATTACATAGAGAGGGTGCATTACAAATGATTCAAACGACACAAATGAAATTACTGCAACAGTTTTCTGAACATTCGGAGGAAGAAAAAAGTATACCTTCACTTTTTGAATTAAATATTTCTAACCCACAAAATCTTAATGAAAATATACAATCTAATCAGTTTAATAATGATAATAGGCAAAATAAAAATTCACCTAAAGTGCGACAATCTAGGTGGCAAAATGATAACTCCAATCAAAATTTTAATGTCACTATGTCGCCTAATGCTAACTCAGGTAATACAAATATATTAAGTATTAAAAATTTGACTGGGGTATTGACACCTCGGCAAATTTTGGACCTAACTAAAATGGGAATTGAAAATCTAGATCAATTAGGGCAACTGACTGTATTGCAACTAAACAGTATCGGCATTTCATTGAAGCAGATTACAGAAATACAATTGAACACAATGAATATACAAAAATTAGGATTAATAAATGCTAATAATGAGTCGCCGCCTCAGTCATTTGTAGGTAGTACGTCGGGTACTAAAGATTTAGATTTGAGAATTCCACCTGCAGCACCAGTTTCAAGTAACCTGGTAGTATCATCTGATTTACCTGGAAAGGATGTAGATATGAGGTTTCAGCAGACTGGTACGGCGTCAGTGCCGGAAGACGTTTCTAACAGTAATACTGCATTAAAGAAAGAACAGCAAACAAATAAAGATATGATTGATATCGATCAGTACACAAAAGATGCCTTAAAATTTGCATCGAAAGATAAAGAAAATATTGACGTATCAAATGAGTCGTTCGAAAATGAGAAACCTGTAATTTCTGTGGAAACGAAGGATGTTGATCATAGGGTTCTTCCTTTTCCAGATGATAACTTAAGGGTTTTGAAGACAAACACTGAAGATAACCCAGGGAAAAAAGAGTTTGACACTGACATAAGATTCTTACAACCTGAACCGTTATTCAAACCAGAGAAAAGACATCGCCGCTCTACAACTGATGATGAAGATAATTTGTTAATCGACGAAAAATGGTATTCTAGTGATGAAGAGAAAGGAAACAAAAAGAAATCTCCAGCTTCATCGCCACGACCTACATCTCTATCACCACAAACTCCAGCTCCACATGTTATAGAACCTTCATCGGTTCTAAGTAGACTTGGTGACCTTTCAAAAATCGATATAAGCGAAGAAGTAACAAAGCTATTGAATACTATGAAAAATAATTTAAATGAAAAGAAGGTTGAAAGTGCGTTAGAACCAATTATGTCTCCTAAATCGAGAGATCCTAGGTCAAGAAGGTCTCCTGAGAAAGTTCAAGATAATAAAATTGTTAATAAAAAACCTCAACGTATATCAATTTATGAATGTATTGATGGAGAACCCACAGATGGGCGTCGAAGAACAGATGTTGATTTACGTCAAACTGAATATAAAATTCCGACTTTTGGAGATACTGATTTGCGTCAAAGCGCTAGCGGTGATATTGATTTTCGTTTGGGTTTACCTTTCAAACCCATAAACAATTATACTCCTGCGACTGAAATAAATGGATCAATAAGTAGCCATCCACCTATGGCATATAAATTAGTACCAATAGACATACCGCGTCCGGATTATACTGATATTAGAGACAGTACTGCTAAATCTCAGGCTTTAGTGGATCCTAGGTTAAGAAAAGTATTCCGATTGTCTATAGAAGAATCAAATAGCGATAGCGAAAAGTCAGTCAAAATAACACCTGTGACACCAAGAGTAGACCCGAGAAGAAAACCAAAAGATACGGTCGAAATCGTTAATTCAGACCAGAAAAGTAATGTTTTAGAGATTCAAAACATTTTACAAAATTCAAATTGGTACAAGGAATTGAGTTCCACTCATAAAATATTTGTGAATCAACATTTAGCTCCTGTTAGTCAAATGGTTAAACAGTACCAACAAGAAAAGTCTTCTGGAAAAAAATTCGATCTTGCATTTTTACAAAACAATAGCATATTATGCAATATTTTTACTAGCTTAGGCGTGTCTTTAGGAGAAAATGGCGAGTTTACTTATTTACCTAAACCTAAAGAGGCTTTATTACAAACGCCTGCTAATTTTAATCAAAACGCCAATACATTTACTATGAATAGTAATATACCAATTCCACCTACAAACATGGACACTAGTAATATGAATATGATGAATATGCCACCAATGGGATTAGGAGGTATGAATAATATCAATGTTGGACCTATGCACGGTTTTAATCAACCGGTACCTGATCCACGTTCTGGGCCTACTCCCGGATTATTGGGAATAGCTCCTAACATTCCCCACAATTTTAACAATAAATTTGGTGGACCCAATAATTTTGGTAATATGGGTTTTAACGGACCAGGTAACGATTTCAATTTTATGGATGGTGAACAAAATTTTCCAAGATTTCCTAATAGGGGTGGACATCGAGGTCGTGGTAATGATAGATGGAATCGGGGAGGTTCTGGCAGAGGTCAGCGGGATCGGAAAAATTTTAATGATCGTAGTAGTTGGAAAAACGATAGACACTAATGTTATATATATGTATCATATTTAACGCTAGGTTTAAATTATTTTTAACCAACTGGAGTTAGGAATCCTTCCACATATTACGAAATGTGATTAAGGTGATAAATTATTAATAGTAACAATCTTTTAAGTAATAATATTTTGACTGCTGTTTAGTTCTAGATGGGTTAAAAGGTTCCGTGGAAAAGGTTATTTATTGTAAATATTTTTATGTATTACATATAAATCAGTCAATCCGATATCATATGTGAATAATTGTGTTATTGAAAATATTTATAATGAATTAAGTTTTTAATACAAAGTACTCATAAGAGCCAAATGTTAAGACTGAGGGCGAGTTTTATGATTGAGATTTTGTTTTCTAAAATAAGGTTTTAATAAACCCAGTTACAGAGCGATTGATAACTATTATAATTTTTAATTGTTTTGTTTGGGGACCGGAATGAAAGTTGGTAATTAGTGATACGTAGGTAATTATTATTGTCATATTTTCATAGGCATTAGGATAGGTACCTACAAAATTAGAAGCAATATGGATTTTTTTATTTTTAGAATATTAGCTTGTTGAAATTTACAACAATACGAAGTAACAGAATTCGGACAATTGTATTATGGAGTAGTTTTATTAAAAGCGCCTACTCAATCTATAAAATAAATCTATGTTTATATTAAAATGTCTTAATTTAATTCCTTGGAGGGTCAACGACGCGACGGTGCAAAAAATATTGCAAGTGGCATATGGCAAGAAATGAAATAGATGGATGTTTTTCAGTATATATTTCCAGCAGTATGTTCAAATATTGTAAGTATCGGCTATTACATTGCTATCGGCGAAAGAGAAAAAGTATTAGAACAAATTCCATCAGTGAGCAAATGCATGCGTACTGATACTAACTTACTTAAAAATATAAAAAACAACTATAGTATTCAATTATCTGTATTTAATGTTTGTAAAATAGAAGCAATATAGTTTGAGAAGTCTTTTTTTAATCTAATATTTTCATTCTTGAAGTTTACTGTCACTTGTGATACCTTAGAAAAAGTGGAAGCTGTAAAGTAAGAATACAAAAAATGTTTATTACAACAATTAAATCAAATACTGATTTTAGAATTATGATATTATGATATGATAATTATGACATGATTCAATTACTAATATTAGAATTATGTTTATTTACTTCAGTTTCATGACAATATTATGTATGTTATCTACATACGTACATACTTTCCGTTGCACGAAATTAGTATAGGAATATAGACATGAAGTGGAAAAAAAAATGAGTTAGAATTTTATATTTTTACACAAATCAATGTAATCGAGATGACATACATGAACTGTCTCGAATAAACATTGAACATTAAAATTAAAGAAAGCTTTTTATTCTTTATAGTATACACACACAAATAAAACAGAAATATGATAAATGTAATGTACAAGGGCGAGAGAACAGTCAAATGCGTATTTGACGAGTTATGAAAAAATTTGGAGTATATACAATGAAAATAGAAATAGTGAATTTTTGCATTTTTAATTGACTCCAAACAGTATTAATATCTGCTAGACTTACTATAATCTCTAAAAGTAAAATTAGTTACCAATATTAGCTCACGTACTTCTACATATAAACAAATAAATTGAGACGGTTCAATTTATTTGTTTATATGTAGAAGTACGTGAGCTAATATTGGTAACTAATTTTACTTTTATAGTTATTTAATTTTAGTTTGTAATTTCAAATTAACAGTTTTTCATATTATCATTATACTTATTTAAAAAAAAAATTATCTGTTCATTTCTGCTAAACTGTTAATCGCCTGGACTGATTTTGACGGGACTTTCATTCTCAGATAGCTAATATTATAAGGAGTAACTCATATTTTAGAAATGTATTTATATTCATAACTTAAATGCCATGGTAAAGAGAAATGGTTAATGAAATTTGACGTGACTATCGTATCACGAGGATGGATAGTCTATCTTTTATCTTTAACAAAATAGACCGAAGTAGTTAGTAATCTAACTACCCTGTGAACTCGCTCCTTATCTACTCTGTATACCATTTTAGACAACGTACATAAGCTCAGTGAATCCATATCGTCATTGTCATGTGTATTGTTATAAAAGAGAACACATTGTTTCGTTGATAGTTTAGGCTGCGATACAAAATAATTGTACAAAAGTTCCATCTCTCTCGCTGCTGCTTGTGCGGTGCTGGGAGAACACACTAATATCACGCCATGTACCCCCACCCGTAATGCAGGCCAACATGATTCAAATCTAAAAAAGTAAACAAATATTAAATTTGTAATTTGTTTCGTAAATGGAATGAAATCATTACGTGTACAGTATCGACTGTACACGTAATGATTTCATTTATGTAGCTTTATTAAATGATAATAGATAATTATTGTCTAATATAACAATTATATTCCATTAATTATAGAATACATTGACAGCAATGACAAACAATATTTTTTTTCTTCAGGCCTTTAGAATTTTTTTCCTAAACGGCTAATGAATCAAAAAAAGTATTTATCTCATAAATTACAATTATTTATGTAAACTTAAAGAATATGTAAGTAAAGATCTGTAATGTATATATATATATACATTCTGTGGTATAGGTAAAATCTGAAACTTAACGACACTATTCATGATAAAGAATAATTTTATCTTACTAAACATGACTTCGATTCTTCCACCTGGTTGATATAACTGCAATACCAGACAAGCAATATAGTCTACCCTGTGGATAATTATAACCACCGCCTATATACATGAATATCCTAGACGTCATAACATTTTGACGATCATATTGTACCATGTAATTTGCATTCTAATCTACCGTCGAGAAGGCGCCACATTTTGTCATCCAAGATGTGGTATCTTGGATCAAGTCTAAATACAAAAATCTTTTTGTAGGCCATATGGCCAGGGATGAATTATGAAACGGAAACGCGTACGTATATTGATAGTTGTAACAGAATGCTTGAAGTTTCCAATACAATAACTACAGAATTGGCTTTCGAATTTTCAGTGCATGACAGAGTAAACAAAGATATTTTTAAATGGATTATACTGAAATAGAGTTATGATCGAGACAATTTGAAATGGTGTTGATCAAGACATCACGTCTTTCGAGTACAGTAACACTAATGTTAGAAGCAAACAAAAGTAGTACTTGGCGTAAGAAAAGATTCCCTATTTCTGCCACCAAGGATCTTAAATTCAAATCTACCGTCTGTTCGGAATGATTTCGAGATGAGAAGAACTGACAAGAGACTCAGCTCGTATTTTTTTTTCTTTAAATGTACATATTTACAATAATACAGATTCATTTAAACTCAAATTTGGTAGAATAGAGTGACCACCAGCATATGCTATTGGAAAAGGAAATAGTTTCTTTACCTATACAAAAAAGCTGACGGTCCATCTGATGGTAAATGGCAACGTAAGTATTAAAGCTCATGAGTTTCAACTCAGAAAGACTAATATGTAACATATCCTCTTAGATATCCTATACTTTTACTGCTTTATCTCAACCTTTAACCGAAAAACATCTTACAAAGCAAGCTGTTTGGTGGCAGAAATAGGTGAAGTGGTAAATGCGCAGTCAACTTTAGTAAGTCTACAGATGACTATTCAATGTATGATCTATAATTTCATATTCTTTTCTCCTTAGGTAAGTATTGAATTTGCTTATATTTATTTTAATCAGTTGGGATATTTGTATGCAATATAAAAAACTCAACAGTACAACATTTTTGATGAATGTACCTACATTAGTACACAATTTTACATTACGTATCGATAGATTAGTGAAAGTTAAATTAAGATGAAATCCTATACCTAAGTCATATACATTCGTTGGCTATTTCTTACCATCATATAAATACGACGATGTACGTAATGTCATGAAGTGGTAAATATTGTGTATCAATATAGTAAGTCATACTAAACTAAACAATTATAATTAATGTAGCTAATATTTTGGTAATATAGATAGTTATTTTTTTTTATGGATGATAATGGAATGGTGCACCCGCCTGCGCTAACGGTTTACGCTGGCGGGGCACCAGTTGAGGATGATAAGATGAGCATGAAGTCAGGTCAGTTGGCCCATCATGACAAATTCACTAGGAATTTATCACGATGGTTTCCAGGGGGAACCGCGTGGAGGTCAACCTGATATGGTGCATTGCTAGTAATGGGGTCATGAGTCCACATTACTAACAATCCCCTTCCCCTCTATAGATAGGTATTAGGTACATATAGCTGGTAGTAAACCGACTTACTTGTGATCACCACTGCAGTCCCAGAGTTCTACATCGACATTCATTATTTTTCCATTAATACTTATGTTAGAAACCTCAAACTCTACTACTCGGACACCTTGAGTAGGAGTAGGCGGGCCCGCTTCTTCTATGTTTATTGTCTCAGATATAAAATTTGCAATTTGAGTTTTACCACTCTGTAATTATGATGATTAAGTATTTAAAATAATAAAGTCGTGAAAATTTCGTGTTGCGTGTATCCTTATGCTATCGGCTATACGAAAACTGTCTACCATCAGTAACATTGTCGCATCTGTACCATACATATTGGACCGACTACATAAATAATAATAATAAAGGACAGGGATTTAATAACCAACGATATTATTACTTATGATGTATATTTATTTCATTTTTTAAATTTTATTAAAATGTATTTAATAAAATTTAAAAAAATTAATAAATCCCGAATCATATAATGTAAAAACATGATTTTCCGTCAAAGGTTAAAAGAGTTCGAATTATGGTAGCAATGAAATGATTTAAAAATATATATTTTACACATAACATTATCTAAAAAATATCTATTATAATAGCGAAAATTTGTGAGTATGGATGGATGTTTGTTACTCTTTTACGAAAAAACTACTTCACGGATTTTGATAAAACTACAATAGGGATAATGATGTAACTATATATAGGTTATATGTACATCAGAATAACATATAGGCTATAATTTAAAAAGATGTAATGTAAATTGAGTATCTAAGTGTGATGCAGACGAAGTTGCGCGGGCCAGCTAGTAATATCTAAGTATATATATATAAAGATGGCTACCACTTACCTCTGAAGGTCCAATCATTATTATTTTTAGTTTATTTGGGAGCATGTTTTCAGATATGTAATATTTAGTATATCTAGCCGATATAAGTAGATAGATATATTTTAATTCTACGGCAGTAATCAATAGATAATGCTGACTTTCTACGACTTGATACGAAATACATATTATTTTTATTCATGGGAACTTGACAGTGTTGTTATTTTGTTTACATGGCAGTCGCCTTGGTTACACAAAATGATTGTAGTAGTTGGTACTTAGCGGTGCAATAGTATACATAACATAATTTGTTTAATGTACTTATTTTATCAACGTTACTATTGATCAAGTTAGTATCATCATTAGGTGGAGAGTATAGTCATTTGTGGCTCAAAGTACAATTTATTTTATGATTCATTACTTCAAATAGAAAGATATCATATGATGCAATACAGAAGCATAATGTATACCATTGAATAGAAACCCTTTTTAAATATTTCCCGTCATACCAGCCTTAAAAGTAGGTAAATGCCGCCCATGAACATAGGTGTCTAAAATTGCATGCTATATTTATACCATGACTTACGATGGTCTCGGGTTCGGTTCTCAAAACTTATATTTATGAGTATGATTGTTTTTTCCGGCCTGGGTTTTTTGTCCCTATATTATTAATCGAATATAGAAACAAATGTATCTGACAATCAGTTGTTTAGTACCTTTAGTACGAGCTGTGCTTAGTGGAATAGATAGATCAGTGAAAGTTTTGTGGGTTACTATTATTGTATACTAATATAATAATAATAACCCACAAAATATCCTATTGTCAATTTATTCGTTTACAATAGTACAACGTCCTACGTACAAAATATAGTACTATTATTATTATTATTATAGCTTTTATTCAGATCCAACTTATACATTATTTTAAAACAAATATAAAGCTTTAAAACTTAAACAAAATAATTATTCTATTATTTGGATCTTATTTAATGTCTGTAGATCTGTTTGCCAATCGGCAAAGGCCTCCTCCAATCTTTTCCATTCTTCTCTTTCTTGTGCCACTCTGTTCTACATTACTCCTGCCACTCTCCAGACAAAATATAGTACTACTACATACGTGTAAAATAGTGTGTAAATACTGCTTCTCAGGAAATAATGTATAATTTCATTGATATCCGTTTAGTTGTTTAGTTACTAAACGGTAACTGACAACATACTTTCGCATTTATAATATTAGTAATTTATAATTATATTATTTAATTGAATTCTGTAATATCAAAGAACTATAACTAATTTAAATACTATAATTAATTAAAAGTATATATCTAATACGGAAAGGATTTGTTATATATATATATGTATATATATATATATATATATAAACACCTCTTTGGGCACTTTGTTGATCACGCCACAACCTAAACACTTGCTGATTCCACCTTTTGCACTGAATAACTTGACTCCTATCGCGTATATCTCAGGCGGTATGGCAACGTCGCATTCTATTTTGCGATGTGGCCATATATATTCGTCGATAGTACGATATACTCGACACATTTTTTACTAATAATTCGTGCATGACTGGCTCCGAACGGCTAAATTTTTGGTATACACAAAGACTTTTTGGCTCTGAATATATTTCAAAAATCAATTAATTATGTTGATCACTTTATATACTCGTCCTTACTGCGATACTTATTTTCATCCGAATATATATAGATACCGTAACGGTCTATCAATTATGAATTTATTAATTTACTAATGTAGATATTTTATATTCGCAATGCTCCATACATAGTAACTCCACCGTTGCAGGGGGGAGCACCGTACACCGCACCCCGCGCACACAAACAAATTAGATATTTTTTGAATACACAAAGACTTTTTGGCTCCGTATATATATTTCAAAAATCAATTAATTGTGTTGATCACTTTATATACTGGTCCTTACTGCGATACTTATTTTAATCCGAATATATATAGATACCGTAACGGTCTATCAATTATGAATTTATTAATTTACTAATCTAGATATTTTATATTCGCAATGCTCCATACATGCAAGCTCCAGCAACGGTGGAGGCAGGGGGAGCACCGTACACCGCACCCCGCGCACACAAACAAATTAGAATAAATTAAATTCATAAGATTATTTATGTATTTCGACTGCCTCGGTGGTCACACCGCTTTACATCCGATGGTCGCGGGTTCGATTTCTCGCACGGTGCAAACATATGTACTCATCGGTCATCGATTGATTTCATCGGTCTGGGTGTTTTATATGTATATTATATATGTATTTACAAGATAAAAATATCTATTTATATCAGTTCAGTATCAGTCTGTATTAATTGTCCAGCGCTATTTATTATATTTTTATAAACGGTTATCTTTTTCCATCGCACCGCTCGCTATCGACAGTGAATTCATAGAAATGTCACTCTAAAAACAAAAATAGTTTTGTATTTCAAATACTAAATGCAAAATAGGTATTTTCAAAATACTTTTTCAAAATAAAGTACCTTTTGAATTTTTGTCCAAACCTCAGATATTTTATTTATTTTACATAGGTATATCAATCATTACATAGTGTAGTATAAAACAAAGTCGATGTCGCATCTAACAGTACATAAATAAAGAAAGAAGACTTTTTAGCTCTGATACCGTAACGGTCTATCAATTATGAATTTATTATACCTAATCTAGATATTTTATATTCGCAATGCTACATACATTGTAATATCCGCCTCCATTCATTGTAACGGTGGAGGGACTAAATAGTTGAATAAAACTGAATAAGCAGTTGCTCCACTCTATAGGTATGTGTCGTCGTCGTATGCTGTTCATTTTTTCACTCGTTTTGGCGCCAAGAGAGGGTCACATAGTCGTGGTCAAGTTAAGAACTTATAATTTAATTTTGATGACAATAGATACAAGTAAAAAGTAGGTATTATATTAATGTACGTAAGTACTATACTTAAAAATATTTATTCTTTATTGTACATTTGAAAAACTTAACACTTAAGGACTTGTACATATACACGTACATACTGCCATTTTCTCTTAAAGACATCCAGAGAAGCACTATTTATCAAATACGCGGGGTGCACCGACCTTTGACCTTATAACAGCTGATTCGCGCGTAACGAATTACATTGCTACTTACATTACTATTTTATAGTGGATATTTCACTATAAAATATTATTATTTCTTTAGATTATGACATAATAGCATAGTTTACATGATTTTAAGGGAAACATACGATAAAAAAAATTCCCGTAAAATGTAAAAGATAAAAAATGGTTATTGTTGGTTATCCTTGAGAGATAGACATATACCATCACGGACTTTTTGTTGACCTTATTTTGATACATCTCAAAGCACTAGACAATACGCATTTTCATTAAACAGTATTGTATTTTTTTTATTTATTTAACTTTAATGCACAAAAAAATTTGTACATGTGGCGGACTTAATATCTTGCCGCGTTATTTACCAGGCAACCATGAGTGGTGCAGCGAAAGATTATTGGCGGTGCACTAATATAAATAAGAAATGTCAAAAAAAGATATATAAATACAAAGCAAAATATACATTTCTATAAAAAAATAACAATATACATACATAAATATATAACCCATAAATGTATAAATAAATACATAATGACCCGATAATCAAATTATAAGTACAGTCTCAAATTGAAAGTAAGAAAAACAGAAAATATAGAGAGAACTATAGGGATATAACAAAAAGATGTCAAAAAAGGAGGAAAAGTTACAAATTTAAATAATATTCCCGCAATTTCTGTTTAAATGAATTTATTACATTATTATATATATTAGGCATACGACTAGCCTTATGACTGTTACTTTTTTTTTAATCTATACATCTATACATGTAAATAAAATTGGAGTGTCTGTTTGTAATATTGAAATAACCGTTTTTACTACTTGCATATGAATATAAATCCGGTACATACACCAAAATAACATATTTTACAAGTTTTGTCTGTCTGTCTGTCTGTTTGTTCCGGCTAATCTCTGAAATAGCTGGACCGATTTTGACGGGACTTTTTTTGGCAAGTAGCTGATGTAATAAGGAGTAACTTACGCTACTGTTATTTTAGAAAAATAAAATAAAATTTCACGCGGACGAAGTCGCTGGGGCCAGCTAGTCTATAGATATACCGAGATTTAATATTTAAGTTGCTATTATGTTGTTGACAAAATTTTACTGTAATGTTACTATTACGTTATCCTACGCAATTTGTATTATTTTGGATGAATAAATAAATAAATAAATAATAATCTATACATCTATACATACAAATAAAATTGGAGTGTCTGTTTGTAATATTGAAATAACCGTTTTTTACTACATGCATATGAATATATATAAGGTACATATACCAAAATAACAATTTTTATAATTTTAGTCTGTCTGTCTGTCGGTCTGTTTGTTCCGGCTAATCTCTGAAATGGCTGGACCGATTTTGACGGTACTTCTTTTTGGCAGGTAGCTGATTTATAAGGAGTAACTTAGGTTACTTTTATTTTAGAAAAATAAAGTTTAATTCCACGCGGACGAAGTCGCGGGAACAGCTTGTTTTTAATAAAAACATCTTTTTTGTGGTACTTGAGAATGTTGAAGCCTGTTGTTTGTAATATTGAAATAACCGTTTTTTACTACTTGCATATGAATATAAATACGGTACATAATACACCAAAATAACATATTTTACAATTTTTGTCCGTCTGTCTGTTTGTTCCGGCTAATCTCTGAAATGGCTGGACCGATTTTGACGGGACTTTTTTTGGCAGGTAGCTGATGTAATAAGGCTACTACCTAGTAACTTAGGCTACTTTTATTTTAGAAAAATAAAGTTAAAAACCACGTGGACGAAGTCGCGGGAACAGCTACTGTATAATATATTAGAGATACCTACGTGTTTTTTTATTGATGACTAGCTGTACACGGGATTTCGTCCGTGTGGAATTTAACTTTATTTTTCTAAAATATAAGAAGTTAAATTCCACGCGGTACAGCTAGTTGTCGGTAGTCTAGCGATTTAGCTAGCACACTGCTTTGATTCCTGCTTGGTGGTCGAGGGTTCGATTCCTCGCACGCTGCAAACATTTGTATTCGTGAGTAGGATTGTTTGTAACGGTCTGGGTGTTTTCTATGTATAGATAATATATATGTGTTTACGAAAA